CACGTCGTTGGCCAACTAGTCTTGGCTAACCAATCTCGGTGTTTGTAATTTCATTCACTGTCGACAGGCCCAAGCCCCATGAGCCTCGAGGTCAAGTAGACAAGATGAATACGCGAAAGAGAAATAGGGATTCAAAAAATACATTTATTGTCATCGCGAATGTAACACTGAAAAAAGAAGTGAAATGAAAAAAAGGGAGTATGATAAACAGACACAAAACAATTCTAGAAAATAGTAGTTACGTTAAAAAAAAGATATCTCTGCCCCAGGCCATCGGAAAAAATAAAACAAAACTGTATCAAAGTCACATGGCTTTCTTTTTGATTCGTTTCATCCTCCCCTTTCACTCTAAAGCTTGCATCTCAAGCCGGATCATCGCCTGGACTTGGCTCCACGATCACTTCTTTCGCTCGCTAATGCATCATGATTCTCATGCTCATGCTCATGCTTCAGCCTCGGCCTCGGCCTCGGCGGGAGTCTCAGCAGCCACCTCGGGTGCTCCGTTCTCGGCGGTCTTGGACTGTTCCTCCTCAGGGCCGTCAACGTCGATCAGGGATTCCGACGACGGGGGCTCAGGGGCAACGCCCTCCTTTTCTAGACGGATGTACTCATCCCACTCGGGAAAGAGGTCGTCGTCTGTCGTGGTGTCGGGAGCACCGGGGGGAACACCGATGAGACGAGCGATCTTCGTCTTGCCGGTCTGCTCGAGCGACTCCTTCCACTGGGCGACGAGCTGAGGAGCCCTCGAGGGCTTATAGGTCTGGGCGAAGAGAACGGCCTCGGCGATTCGGGTGGTGCGCACGAGAAGGTCGATGCAGCCGTCGACGTCGCCGAGGGACCAGAGGGTGGAGAAGGCGACGTTGTGCAGGCCCGCCTCGGAAGCCTGCTCGGCCAGCTTGCGGAGACCTTCCTTGTTGCCGCTGGCGGTGTGCAGAAGGAGAAGGGAGCCGAAGTCCTTGGCGTTGGTGAAGCATTCCTGGGCCAAGGCGAGGTTCCAGCCCGACATGGCGGTGTCACCGACGATCTTCCACTTGTGCTCGACGTTGGCCTCGCGGGCGATCTCGAGGGCAATGTCGAGGTTGTTGAGTGCAAGGGAGAGGTCGAAGCGGTGCTCCTGGTCCGTGGCGACCTCCAGGGCCATCTCCTTGTACCCTTGACCCTCGAGGAAACGGGCGACCTTGTTCATCTGGTCCTGGGGTACATCCTGCAGCAGCTCCGCGGCCAGGTCCATGTCACCACGCAGAACCACGGTCTGGTATTCAACCATGCTCAGGGAGAGGCCGAACGAGACAACGTTGACATCCTTGTCGGCAAGGTAGACCCGGCCATCACGGGGCAAGTAGCCGAGGACGTACATCCCTTGGTCGAAGTGGGAGATTGTGTAGGTCTGGTCACCAACAAGGTAGTTCAGGCGGTTTGTCGAATTCGTGTAGATGAAGCAATCCCCGACCCATTGACCGGTTCTGACGGACTCGTTGACATCGGTCACGACTTCGAACGCCGACTCGACACCGTCCTCATCGGCCTCGCCTTCATTCAGGCCATTGACGTAGTTCTCTCTCGAGAACCGAAGAACGTAAAAGCTATCTTCGCAAGCGAGGGTGACCAATTCACCGGATTCCGACCAGTAAACCTAAACAAATTGTAAGTAACAGTCATGGTAATCACCAGTCACAAAGTACTTACAGCCTTCGGCTCAACTTCGATACGTCGGACCAAGTTTCCGGTCTCCCAATCGAACATGCCAATGCCTCCTTGTCCCTTAACACCGAGAAGGACACCATCGGTAAGACCCTCGGCTTGGAAGCCTACATCAAGGCCACCGCTGACCTCCTTGAAGTTCTTGAAGATCTTGACACTGGTAGACGACTCACGGATGGCGTAGTCGTTGCTGTTATCCTTCGATCCCCACGCGAAGTCCAGGGCTTGCCCGAAGGCCTTGTTTCTCCATGCGAGAGCAGTGTAGATGATGTACTCTCCGTCGCCACAAACCGAAACAAATCGTCCGTTAGGAGAGTGCGACAACGTTTGCGGGTAAACTTCGCAGGAGCCCAGGTCCTTGGTAGGTAGGGAAATGGGTGCCCCATCCTTGATGCTAGCATCGCCACCCTTGATAACTGTGGAGACAACCTCGTTGTGTCTAGCCCAGATAACCTTTCCTGAGCCGTCCATGGACACCGCAGGCTCCTCCCGACCCATCTTGACAACCACCGCGCCATCGTCGAAACCCATCGCAATACCCTGCTTACCACGCTGGTAAGAAATACACCAGGCTCTCTCGAGTCCATAGCTTAGCGATTGTTCCAGACGGTATGTGTTCGCATGCCAGATTTTAATGGTTCCATCCTCGGATCCGGAGATGATGACCGGCAACTCCGGGTGGTAACAGGCGAAGGAGACGTTGCTAGTGTGACCTTCCAAGGTCGCAATCAACGCTTTCGTCGTGTAGTCCCAGACCTTAACCGTGCGATCATCGGAAGTTGTGAGGAGGTATGGTTTATCGGCCTGCGGGTAGTAGTCGACGTGGTTGACACCCTTGGTCTCGTGGGCTTCGAGGGTCGAGTTGGGGTGCGGAGAGCCCAGGCTCCAGATCTTGACGGTTCGATCCAGACAAGCGGAGGCGAATGTGTTTGTATCCTTGGGGTTGATGGACAGTCCCATCACGTAGTGGCTGTGTCCCTCAAACACCTGAACGCATTTCCAGTTCTTCTCCCAGTCCCACAATTTGATCGTCATGTCATCGGATGCGGTAAGAACGAAAGGCTGAGTAGGATGGACTGCGATCGAACGGATATAGTCGGGGTGAGCCTCGAAGGAAGCGATCTTCTCGGAGGTGTTGTAGTTGTAGATGCGCAGCTGGAAGTCATCCGAGCCGCAAACAATCCAGTTCTTGCGGGCAATAAAGCGACCCGCTCGTACGGGGACATCGGTGAGCTCGAATGTTTTGATTATGGACTATGAGAGAATGACAGTTTGTCAGTCGCACGTTCGCGTGGGCAATGCTGCTTGTGGGACTCACCTGGGACTCGTAAGACCAGATGTAAACGTGACCTGTTTATATTCCGTATTAGCGCATTCAATGGGAGAAACACGGGCGCTTCATCGCTTTACGCACCACTATACAGAGTGGTCAGGATCTAGCTTCCAGTTAGCAAGGAATGAGAACCAATGACTCGATAACACTTACCCATGGCTCTGTGGGATGGAAGTCAATGCCCTTGACCCGCTCGGAGCGGGCAAAGAGTTGCCTCTGTTAGATCGCAATTCAAGTTAGCACCAGGGTTCCGAACAGACACTTCTAGCCAAGTTGAATCCAATTGTCCTCATCTGGCAAGGCCGCATACCTTCACGTCAAGTTTCATGGTGTGGTAGTAGGGAGAATCGCGACGCTATGCGGGTTCGGGAGACGGCCTCAGAGAAGGAGGGGGAACCAGGCCTCGAGCCGTTCAGACAGCCCAGCCCGGAGGAACAAGGAGGGCTTCGGAAGGAAGTTTTTGGGTCGGTAGTGCAAGCAATGAGGAAGCCCCCGGGCAGAACGGGCAGCACGAGCAATGGATATAGAGCGACTCAGGGACTGGCAGCGATGTGTCCACAAGGAGACCGCCAGCTATCGGGATTTGGCTAGCGACGGCCGCGCTCACCGCCTGCGCCTTTGGGCGTTCCGGGGCCACGAGCATCGCCAGTTCTTTGGCTTCTACGCAGGACTCACGAATTAATTCTCCGGTGCTGCTCGTCTCTGCGACTAAGCAATTGGTGCCGTTCTACTATGGAGGTCTTCTCTACGCCAGTACATCCACCCTCGGAGCACACGCCATCGTGCACTTACCCCCATATAGACCCCTCCCATGCACCCCCTGGACCAGTAATTAGGTCATGAAAGACAAATAGATTTTGACACCCGTCGGCTAATAATTACATGTTGTTCGGAATCACTGAAATCTAAGCCCTTACGACGAGCCGGACGTGTTGCGCTCGAAGTAGGTCCACTGGCCGGGGCTGGGCTTCTCCGCAAGTTCCTCCCAGCTGGTGAACGATTAGCCTGGTTTTCGTATAGAGAGGTGCTAGAACACTTACACCTGAGACTTGTACATCTCATCCACAAGCTTCATCTCACTCTCGGCGACCTGGATGACTTCTTCGATAAGACCGGCAGCAATCTTGTGCTCAATGTCGGAGACTCTGTGCAAAGGGGGAAAAGATCAGCTTCTAGACTCGGCTATCGAGCAACGACTTCCTGGACATACTGCTGTGCTTCCAGAGCAGGCTCGTTCTCCCACTTCATAGCCTCGGGGAAGAAGTCCGTCTCCTTGTCCTCGGGCTTTGTCGACTCGTCAATGGCCTTCTCCCAGCGCGCTTCCTGCTCGGCGGTACGGGTAGGACCCTCGGTGGTCGCCTCGATGGATTCGCCGTCCCATTCCTCACCACGGGGGTTGTCGCTTCCGTCATCCTTCTGGAAAGCCGCGTACGAGCCATCCTGGCGACGGAGGGAGGCGAATCGAGCGGGCTCGGCGCCGACGGTCTTCTTCACACGCTCCAACCAAGCATCGAATCCGGGGGGTTTCGTCGCTTCGACGATCTCCAGGCGGTGGCGGGTCAATGCCTCGGTGGACTGGCGGTAGACGGAAGACTCGGGGAAAGCCTTCAATTTCTGCAGGGTGGTGGTGTAGAGATAGATCAGGGTCGGGCGGGGACTGGGATGGGTGACCAGGCCGGTCAATCCGGTGGGAGCGAAAGGCTCCAAGTACCGGGGCGACTTGACGTTCGCCAACAGACGGAGGGTGGACCTCATTGCGATCGAGGAACAGGCGAAAGAGAAAGACAGAAAGAATTGACCCAAACGGGCTAGTTGAGGGCGATGCTTCTGAGTCGTGAAGCGGATCGGGAGCGAATGAAGGATGAGGTGCCGTCGGAGGGCGGAGAAACCGAGATTCCAGGCCACCGGCCCCCGTTCAGCCACTTCGTCCGTCTCTCGCTCTTCCTCCCTCCGCGTGGAATCTCTTATCAGACCCCAGGGCGCCTTAGGGGCTTCGTTTTCTACCCTCCATCCTTTTCGCTTGTCTTGTCTGGCCCATCCGGCGGTCCTTCCGCGGTCTTCGACTCTTGAACGCCCCCATCGATCTACTACTGCAGATCTTCTCTTCGACGGCAGTGGCTGATCCGGCCTCCGTCTTCACAGTCGCGCCGCATTAAGACGCTCGTTATTTTTTCGGTTCCTGAATGTGCTGCCTACACTGATTTCCGCCATTCGTCCATCGCAAACTTCTCGACTCCTTTCCTCTGTCCGACTACCCGGTCTTTGTACCCTCGTTTCTTTCCCCTGACCAGTGTCGCATTCAGGTCAAAGACCTTGACCTACCGCCAGGATGAGGGTTTCGTTGCTGGCGTGGTCCCTCCTCTCGTTATTCTCCGTGACCTCTCTCGCCGCTCCCGCCGATCAAGATGTAAACGTCGATGCGGAGGTGAAGAGTACCACCTTCAATGGCGTCGAAGTGCCTCAAATGAAGGAGCTGTCGCCGGATACCTTTAAGGAGACAATCAAGGACGGTTACTGGTTTGAGCCCCCACTGTCACGACTCTACTGGCCCCTCTTCCTTGTTCTGACAGTTAATAGGTTCATCAAAGACTATTCTCCAATCTGCCCGCATTGCCGGCAAATCGCCCCGACATGGCAAACCCTCTACGAATTTTACCTTGTGAGTGCCCTGACCTCAATCCTCGACTTTTTTTCTAATCCATGGTTTCCTAGACTTCGGATCCACTGTCTTCTTCCTCGTCCAAATCTCCGGACACCCAATCGTTAAACTCGTTCCAACCTTTCTATAACTTCCACTTTGCGTCTCTGAACTGTATGGCGTACGGAGATCTGTGTAAGGAGTTGGGAGTCAAATTCTTCCCTACCTTCTCGCTTTATCACAACGGTGAACTCGTGGAACATTACGACGGCGAGAAGTCAATGAAGGGCCTTAGCGAATATATCGAAGGCAAACTGGAGGCGATCAAACCTGGATCCCGTCCCCCGAACGGCGTCAAGCTGCCTAAAGCGGGTGCGACGGAGGTGGAACCGAATGCTCAGCCAGAAGTCCCTGCCGCCAAGGACAAAGATCCCGAGGCTGGCGCGAAGGCTGGCGAAGAGCACAACGTGAAAGCTGCCGGCCTACCCGAGGAAGACTCGTCCGCCGAGAAGGATGCGACTCCTAAGCCCAAATCGGCTCCCCCGGCCGCCCCGGCAAACCCTCAGGGAATGTCCGTTCCTCTGACCGCCGAAAGCTTCCAGAAACTTGTGACGACCAGCCAGGACCCTTGGTTCATCAAGTTCTACGCTCCTTGGTGCCCTCATTGCCAGGCGCTGGCTCCCACCTGGAGACAAATGGCCAAAGAAATGCAGCACGTTCTCAACGTTGGAGAAGTTGACTGTGACGTGGAGAAGAGGCTGTGCAGCGATGCCCACGTCAGTGCTTTCCCGACAATGTATTTCTTCCGCGGCGGGCAGAGGGTTGAATACACCGGCCTCCGCGGTCTGGGCGATCTTGTCAGCTACGCTAAGAAGTCGGTCAGCGTGGGGCTGGGTGTGCAGGATGTCGATGCGGACGAGTTTAAGGAGCTGGAAGAGAAGGAAGAGGTTCTTTTCTTGTATTTCTACGACGACGCTACGACCTCGGAGGACTTTGAGGCTCTGGAGCGCCTGACGTTGAGCTTGGTTGGCCACGCGCGAATTGTCAAGACGAACAGTGGCGCTCTCGCGGAGAGGTTCAAGATCAACACCTGGCCCCGTCTTCTTGTGTCCCGTGATGGCCGCGCCAACTACTACACTCCGATTGCCCCCAAGGACATGCGTGACTTCCGACAGATCCTGGCCTGGATGCGGACCGTGTGGCTGCCCATCGTCCCCGAGCTTACGGCTTCCAATGCGCGAGAGATTATGGATGGCAAGTTTGTCGTCCTCGGTATCCTCAGCCGAGCGCGCTCCGATGAGTTCTTGCAGTCGAAGAGGGAGCTGAAAAACGCCGCTCTTGAGTGGATGGAAAAGCAAACGCAACTGTTCCAGTTGGAAAGACAAGAGCTGCGAGATGCCAAGCAACTCCGTATTGAAGAAGCCGACGACCGCAACGACCAGCGGGCCTTGCGGGCGGCCAAGAATATGCGTATTACAATCCGTGAGGATGACAAGAAGCAGGTTGGCTTTGCCTGGGTCGATGGTGATTTCTGGGAGCGTTGGTTGAGAAACACCTATGGCATTGACGTGGCCAACGGAGAGCGAGTCGTCATCAACGATCAAGATGTAAGTGCCGTCGTGCAACCTCGGATTCATATGCGTGAGACTAACCTTCGACAGAACCGACGCTATTGGGACTCGTCCTCGAGCGGAGCTTCCATCATGGCTTCGCGTACCTCGATCCTCGAAACCATTCCTCTCGTGGTCGCCAACCCGCCCAAGCTGTCCCCCAAGTCGACGGTTGGCACCTTCGAGTCCATCTTCTTCTTCACCCGGACCTTCATTGTCAGCCACCCCATTCTCTTTGTCATTCTTCTCATTGTCTCCGTTGTCGCGGCCGCCATCATTGCGCGCGGAAGAAATGCCCGACGTGGAGGTCGTGGCGGCATCCTCGGCGTGACGAATGGCAACGGTTTCTTCAACCTTGACGGAAAGGAAGGCATTTTGAACGGCGGCTCCACGGGTAAAGTGGATTGAACGGAGTTATATGATTTACTGTACAGTTAGGGTTTTCTTCTTTTTTTTGTTTTTTTTTTTTTTTTTTTTTTTTTCTTTAAATTTTTGTGACGCATACTTCCCCCCGACCACACGGTTTCTGGGATGACCAGGGCCCACTTGGCTTTTCGCTTACAAAGTTCGGAATGTCCTCGATTTTTGATGTGTTTCCCTATATTTATTTTATTTTTTCGTTATATCTTTTTTACTGCTTGCTCAATCGCATCGGTGTCCGAGTTGGGTGATGGGTGCACATGAAATACAATACCATGGATCATAAGTGGGGTTCGCTGTTGAATATTTAGTTATCTGTCTAGAGAAACTTCCCCTTGAGAGACTGGATCATAAAATTAGGGCATGTCCTGGTGCTAGGTATAGACCTCCAACTTATCCATGGATATAGTGCCTAGAAACCATGTAGATCAAAGTGGTTGAGGAGTACAAATTGGCGGCTTCTGATTCGGCGGCGCCGTCATGTCACGTGGTCAGCAATTGGCGGGCTCCGATTGGTCCAGCGGCGGCAGCGAACGTCGCGGAGTCTCCCGGTTTTCGTCGATGCCGTGAGATCCCCCGTTGTCCTTGCCGTCTCCTCCTCTCCCCGCCTGGTCGTTGTTGTTCCCTCGTGTCATTCTCGAGTCCTATAAAAATGGTGTGTATTGCTCCTTGTTGCTTCCTTGGTTTGGCGCCGTGACCCGTTCTCTCGACCTGTCAGAGCCAGATCCTCATCGCTGATGACGTGCGGTCATGTCAATGCGCTATTATACCCAACCAAAGATGCTCTGGACGAAATGCATGAATTGCTAATCACATTCTTTCTTTCTGCTCTAGGTTTTCTCCCAGACCCTTCGTCGCGCTGCGGCCCAGTCCGCCGGTGCCTACCGTTCTCCCTTCGCTCCTAAGTGAGGTTCCCCGAGATTTGATTTTATCCTCAGAAGATGCCCGGCACTACGTAACGAATGTGTCTTTTGTATCGGCGGGGTCGAATTGTCTGTCTATGCTCTGTTGCTGTCATTGGCGTGGAAGCATCAATGCCGGCACATGGTCAGGACAGGATTTCAACCTTTTACTCGACCGCAAGGCGGTGCGAGGGACAACAACAATTGAATCCCATTTGAGAATCCCTGCTGATCGTTGTATGCAATGATATTAGGTACAAGACCTCTCCTAACTTCCACGGCCTGAGCGTGGGCACTGCCACCACTTAGTGAGTTTCTTCCCTTTTGATCTCCAGGGACGACACTTTCCAGTTACCAGTATCGGTGAAAGTTCTCCTGGGTCAGACAAAGTGCTAATGCATCGGGGTTTACAGCGGCAAGATCGCCAGCACTTTCGGTGTCAGCGCTGGTGTCTTCGCTCTCTTCTTCTTCGGCGAGGTCCCTCGTGTGCGCAAGGATATCCTGCAGCAGTTCCCCTTCTTCGACCAGTACTTCGACCGCACGATTGCTCCTGAGGACAACGTATGTTTTCCGCCTGAGTTTGAATTGCGATGGCAGCGTTTATACTGACATTGAACCAGCCCTTCTAAACGAGATTTTTTGATCCTCCCAAGTACATTCCTTCTGCTCTTTCCTATACACAAGACATTATACAGGTATTCTGTTCTATCGGCTAGATTCTGAGGATTGCGAGACGGAGATGTACTGTGTAGAATAACGATGAGATTTTGATCGCACATAGACACGCCCTGCTTAAATCTAGTGCCCTATTATTCCTTGAATTCTTGCGAGACTGGCCAGACCAATGACCGGAACAGTCGTAATGCAAGTCCAGTAGGGATCATCGCCGACGAGGCGTCGATGCAGGATCCTGCCTTATCTCTCAGGCTTATCATCCAACCAACAACGCGGCGCCGATAAGGCGATTTGTCTCTCTTTCTGGCTTCCTCTCTCACGCCAGCCTTGACTCGAGCTTTCCCCGTTGACCCCTTGCGCATGGAGTTTCCCCCTGGAGTATAGACTGCCCGCCAAGCTTTATCTAGAGGCTTGCTCTAGACCATACTCATCGCCATGATGATGCGGAGTGTCCCCTGGTTAGTTCGCCTCTGATCCAATCCTGACTTCCCTACATTCCGGAGATCGCATCGCCAGCGTGATCATTGGATGCAGTGTGACCTGGCGCCAAGCAGACCAGCGCCTGAACCCCCCACCTTGATTGCTGTAAGGTAGGGCGGGGGGCTATTGTTATCCTTGTCTTTCTCTATCTATCTATCTGCCGCGGTAGCATCGGTCCAGGATATGAACCTGTTCCTACGGAGGGCGTGTCCCGTGCGGCTGAGACATGGCTTTCCTATATATTCGCCCTGTACAACCCACTGCTGCAAGGCTGACATCCTCAGTACAACTCGACAAACCTTAGCAGTGACCTAAAAGCGCCGCAAGCCGTTGGTGAATTCGGGCTTGTCGTGCTTGATCCCTCTTTCCTATTCTCCGGCTGGCCAAATATTAGGCTTTTTCGTGGGCCAGGACGAATGAAGGTGCCACCCCGCCTAACATATTCATTATGGAACGGAGACGGTCATCAGATGGCGCCCCCGCAAAAACATCGGCATATTCCAACATCGATCCTGTCCCGGTCACCTCGGTTCTGCCAAATGGCGACGTCCCGTACACCGACCACACTATGGATGCGGATGAGAGGGTGATCACGGCATTGGGGTACAAGCAGGAGTTCAAGCGCGAGTTCTCGTTATGGACAACGTTCTGCGTCAGTTTTGCGGTTCTGGGCCTGTTGCCCTCGTTCGCCAGTACTATATACTATGGTAACGAGCCCTACGTCCCATCAACGTGCGATACCGCTGACTTGGAGTAAGGAATGGGCTATGCCGGCACAGCGGGTATGGTCTGGGGCTGGATCATTGCCATGCTTTTCATCCAATGTGTTGCGATGTCTATGGCTGAGCTATGCTCTGCCATGCCCACCAGGTAGGCATCAGGAAGCCCGCAACTCTCTTTGGGCAGCCAGCCGACTGACTTCTTCAGCGGCGGGCTCTACTATGCAGCAGCAGTACTCGCGCCTCCAAAGTACGGCCCATTCGCGGCGTGGATCACAGGCTGGTCCAACTGGATAGGTCAGATTACCGCAGCCCCGTCCGTGGACTATTCCCTGGCTGCCATGATCCTAGCCGCCGGCTCCGTCGCAAATCCGGGCTACGTGCCCACGACCTGGCAGACCTTTCTCCTGACCACACTGATCATGATCATCCATGCCGTAGTCAGCAGCATGCCAACCAAATGGGTTGCCCAGTTCAACTCGTACGGGTCAACCTTCAACATGCTAGCTCTGATCGCCGTCATCATCGCCATTCCGGCGGGCACCAAAAACGTGCCCAAGTTTCAGCCGTCCAAGGAGGTCTGGGGGACCATTACCAATCTGACCGATTTCCCGGATGGAGTGGCCGTGCTCATGACTTTTGTCGGCGTCATCTGGACCATGTCGGGGTACGACTCTCCATTCCACCTGAGTGAAGAATGCTCCAACGCAAACATTGCTTCGCCGCGCGCGATTGTCATGACGTCCGGGGTTGGCGGTCTGATGGGCTGGTTCTTGCAGCTGGTTGTCGCTTACACTGTGCTGGACATCGAGGCAGTGATTGACTCTGACCTTGGCCAGCCCTGGGCATCCTATTTGCTGCAGGTGATGCCGCAGAATACAGCGATGGCTATCCTTGCCCTGACAATCATCTGTGGGTTTTCCATGGGCCAGGGCTGCATGGTTGCCGCATCCCGAGTGACTTACGCTTATGCCCGAGACGACTGCTTTCCCTGGTCCCGGTACTGGAAGAAGGTCGACCCTCGCACTCACACGCCCGTGAATGCCGTGGTCATGAACGCCGTCCTCGGGATTCTTATGTGTCTCCTGATCTTGGCGGGCGACGTGGCGATTGGGGCGCTGTTCTCCATCGGGGCCATTGCCCAGTTCGTTGCCTTCTCGATTCCCATTACGATCCGGGTTTTCTTCGTGGGAAACCGCTTTCGTCGCGGGCCATGGCATTTGGGACCCTTCGGGCGCGTCATCGGAGGATTCGGGGTGTCGTTTGTACTGCTGATGGTTCCGATTCTCTGTCTGCCCAGCGTGACCGGGGGCAATCTGACGCCGGAGCTGATGAATTGGACGTGCCTCGTGTATGGCGCACCGATGCTGGCAGTCAGTGTCTGGTGGGTGGTGGATGCGCACAAGTGGTTCACGGGGCCCAAGGTTAATGTGGAGCATGCCATTCACCCCGTGGAGGAGGATGGATCCGCCATCGTTAATGTGGGGGTCGAGGTTGAGGATCCTGACGGTGGAGATCAACCGAGTCCGACGCAAGGGTCGAGTAAGTCGCCTAAGAAGTAGGAGTGGGGATGGTCTGGTTGGGTTTCTTTGAAAGTGTGTTGTTCGCCGCTACAATGTCTCTACATTCACCTCCACATTCTTATACCTGACAGTTTGATGCCGAGTCTATCCAATTGTATTTGCCAGGGTGCATCCTACTTCTCAATCTCAGAGCTCCTCCACATCGTTTTGGGCAGGTCTTGTTGGATTCTCCAAATTCCGCCCTTCAATCCTCTCACCGCATTGGAGTTGCTGCGTAAATGGCGATATATATATCAATACCTAGTCATCTATCGCGAACGGCCAGCAACACCCTCTATCGCCAGGACCTTGGGTGTATCGGCGTGCGATGTCACTCGGTTCTCGGCAGGTCCGAGTCAGATCCATGATTTCAGGTCATGTGGACGCATGTTCGCGTGGACAATACAGTTCGTAGCTAGCGTTCGTCCGTAGTCGCAAGGGTGTAGCTTAAGCATCCTTGCCTGGTGCTAATCACACGTACCGATCATTCGAAGACATTTGCGTTATTCCGTCGGCTCGCATCAGATCGATCGAGGATATATAACAGCACGCCGCCTACGTAGAGGCGATTCAACAAAACGGGAATAAACCCTCTAGAAGGGAAACCAGGCCTACCTGCCAATTCAGTACGGCGATTAGTTTCTCAATCCAATTATCAAAATGACCTCTCCGTCTTGCCTTCGATTCTCAAACATCCATCCACCCACCCAGGCAACGACCTGACTCCTGCGAAACGGGTGGACAGCAGGGGAAGGAAAATCCAATTAAAGATGCAGGAGAAGATGCATAGCGCGCAGCTCGAGTCGGACCTATCAGAAGCTCCAGCTCACATGCAGGCCACCTTGCGGCGGTGTCTAGACCTGCGCGGGATGGAGGATATCTGCATGCACGGAGAGGCAGGCTGTGGGTTTTGCCTCCTGCGCATGTAGGCAGGTAGGTAGGTACTTTGGGTCGGTCTGCTCTTGGGGATCTGTATGTATGTATGTGCGTCGGTTCTCGTCGCATGGACGCAGCTAGAGCATCGAGTGATGTGCGTCTGAGGGCCCCTGCATATCATATTTTCCAGGCGATGGGTATAGAGAGATTCCTTGGGGATACTGCGTACCATGTCGACGGAGTAGGTGTGTAGAATATATATCCTGAGAGTCCAATCACACTGCGCTCTGTCCCACCGGCAGGGAATAACCCTGCAACTTCCCCTCCGCGGTGATCCACCCTCCCCACCTGCAGGAACCAGTCTCTGTCGCAATCCCTACGGGGGGATTATGAGGTTTTTATTCGGTAGAAGACAGCATCCAGAAGTGACCCAGGTAGGGGGACTGTCCTACGTCATGCTTCAGCATAGTTCCGGGGCGTTTACTTCGTATGTTCCAAAGTGTATATTTACATAGTATATTGACCTAGTATCTACCGTGTCGACATCCAAAATATCAAATTAATAGTAACTGATTAACCGTAATCTCTCTGTAGACGACGGCACTGACGTACATCCATGACAGCAATCCTGAATCCTCTCGTCTAGATTACTATTCTTATCGCAACGCGAACCGAAAATAATAATAAACAAAATAAATGAGAAAACACAGCCTACTAACGATCCTATCTTAAGCTTTTGTCTAGACCAGACCAGGGAGGAGGCTGTGGCATGGCGAACTTCGGCGATTGACAGGGGCAAGGAAAGTCTGTAAGGAACGGAGATTTGTTCCACCCATTTGTTTGGGGTTGATTCTGATTGACGGCGTAGATTTCGTCCCCCTTTTTCTCCAGGCGAACACTTCCCAGAATAAGCCTCGAAATACGAACACGCAATCGATCCGCGCGGAGACGGTTATATAATCGGGATGCTATCGTCTCCGAGGATTGCTAATGCTAGTACTACTACCGAGTAGGGAGGAATTGAGTTACTCCCTAGGTAAAAGGATTGGGGCTGTAAATCATCGTTGATCTCGCTCCCTGCCTGATCCCATGTGATCTCCTGGCGAGGGGGAAATGATGGCAACTGCCCAATGTTAGGCACGTTCGAGGGGCTGCCAGTGAGTTGCAGAAGCAGAGAGTGAGGGGGAAGTGGAGCGACGCTACGGAGGATGTGGGCTACAGCATCATCTTAACGGAGTACTCCAAGGTAGTATATACGTAGTATACTGCGTACTATACTGCGTGTGAATATTAAATTATGAAAAGGAGACACCAGTCGTACAGCGTATGCGTATATTATGAAATGATTACGAGTGAGCCAACCACCTGAGAACTCCGTAAGCGTGTTTCTATTTGGAGGCTGGGAGGCCAGATCAATACGCTGCTGCCTTACTCCGCCGGGGTTGATATCAGCCCTGCTTGTGAGTACCCAAAAGTCTTGTCAGGAACATCGCAGAGGACGAAGGAGGAAGGAGGAAGGGGGCGTTTCGCCAGAGTCCGCGCTAGTCCTTTTCGGGCGCCCGTGAGTATGGCGGTCCTGTACCTCGACCAAACGAGGTCGTGGACTGGATAGATGGGCAGACGGGCAGACGGAATTGATTGCGACGATGTTATTATTAGACTATTCCGTAGAATCAACTACCATTGAATATCACTACAGACAGAAACAACTGTCAAACAACCCGGGGCTTCTCCATCGGGGAGAAACCGCTCCAAACCGTGGGAATCCCCCCCCTGCCGCCTCAATCACGCCTCAAATCAGCCACCACATTCCATGCGACGATGTGGCCTCGCACGCAAATAAGATTCCCTCCCGAGTAGAATTTCCTGACGCGCGGCCTGAGACGAAACCTTGTGGCTGCCGCTTATCCCCAGGAGGGTTCGCAGAGGAAGGAACAGACAGCCTGTTCGTCCGGGCGGAAAAGAGGGGGTCGGCAACTTCGGGCATCTGGTCGGATTCGGCACGACCAGAATCGCCGGGAAACGAGTACCTACGCAGTACTGTGTGACCTGCTCCCAGGGAGTAGTAGCGTTTGCAGGGTCCCGGTGCAGGGTGCATGATGCGGCCAGCCAGTCAATAGCAGCAAGTAGCGAGCCTGACTCGGGGCTCAAAGACATTCGCTAGGGCAAATCCTGCTCTCTTCCTTTCCTCCGCTTACCAGGAAGCCCTAACTCCGAGGGGACGCCCGTACGGAGTCTGTATGCGTCTCCGTATGCGTACTGCGTATTTACTTCGTAGGATAGGTAGGTAGGTGCTAACTAGCAAGGCCTAGCGTGACAAATTTGCGCCGACTCAGAAACCAACCAACGAACTCAATTGACCCCATTCCCAGATAAACTGATTATATCATCTCATGCAAGTCCAGATCCATCGGTCACGGCCACCTCAGACCACCCCCTAACGAAGTCAAGATCCCTTGGCATGAAGTGGGTGGCGTTCGGTACTGCCGCACCGCCGCCCTGATTGGCCCCGTCCGCCAACCCGGTGGGGGCGCCGCCAGACTTGGCTTCGGCTTTACTCCGGCCACCTCCGGAAAAACCTCCCTCCCAGGGTAAAAGTGCCGAGGATTCCTGGTTGAGGTTGAGGTAACTTACTGCGTACTACGCGCATACGTTGGTTTGGCTCGCCCATGAGTCGCGCCCGGATTCGGGCGGCAAGAAAATGCAGTGGGAAGTACGCAGTAAGAAGAAAAGGGAAAAAAAAAAAGGAAAAACAAAATAGGCGATCTGCACGCAGGTCTTGCAGTAGCGTCCTCTCTTAGGGTTGGAGGTCTTTGAGACGCTGGTTAGCATGGGCATTAGTCTAGTTGACTATCTGATTTTATGTCGTAAAAGAAGTGACGGAGGGGAAGACGGCGGTGGCCATACTCCGTATTCATTATTCCATATTGATGTTGGAGGTCGTTGGTAATTGGTATTCAGTTGGACTGGACTACGGAGTGGCCATTACGATGCAGAATTTTTATTTTCATTTTTATTATTATTATCGCTACGATTTTTCAGTTATTTCGAGGCATGACTGGTGACGCCGTGACAATTTGGCTGCAGTCCAGGACTGCCTGGTATTGATCCTTGCCACGTAGCCTTACGCTTTGATTGGCCTGACCGCCGAATTGCATACAGGGTTTAACCCTTTTTCATCTGCACGCGCAGATTATCCCATGTCCCTTGGCTACCGTATCCCTCATCCATGGATCTCGATGTAGCCTCAGCGCCCTACTTCTTCACTCCTCCCCTCAGCGCGGTTAACTGTACACGATGATCACCGCCGTGTTGTTTGCCTGCCAGCTTACCGCGCCGACCAGTATCCGCATCCGGAACAACTGGGAGGTATTCCGGCCACCGTCTGGTATCAAATGTACTCTGCTGCGTAGGTAGACGGCCTCGGAAAAGCTGCCCCAGAATCTCCCGCAAGTAAGACATTGTCAATAAAAAAAACATCATCATAACACAGCGTAGGCCTCCGATCGTGAGCATTCTCCGTCATCTGCTAGCAACTTAACACCTCAGCAAGCGAATGCCAAGCTTTATGATATTGGACCCCTTGACGATCAAACTCGGACATTTCTCGTATCCATTCCTGAGTCCTCGGTCCCTTCGACGGAGTAGGTCACCGCAGCATGGAATATTATTTACCTGTAAATTGTAATATCGTAATAGTCACTAGTGAGAAAGGCTACTCTGGCAGCACTAACCGCAGTAGTCTTGTCACCTGCCCATTGCCTTCTCCGCGTCCTCCGTACGGAGTAGTATGTGCCTGGGTCTACTCGGTCGGGAGTACGACATAGAATGGCATCTGTCTACTATGCTGTCCAGCAACTACTGCGTAGTGAGTCGCGCTCTAGACCAGAAACAACTAGACAGGACGGAGCGAATATCAGACAGCGGTCGGTATCCTCTCCTCTGCACGCTGCATTGTACGATCACTCCACACCGCCAGGATAGGACGGCCTCCGTGGAAGTTTCCATGAGCGGGCCATCGGCTCCTCGGGTGGAGCCCATTGCCGTGATCGGACCGCCACATTGGGCGAGGTGCAGGGTTAAGGGTGGGTTGTTCCTTGGAAGTTCACGCAAAGTGGCAACTCGGGCGAGCCCAGCGGCAATACTGAATACACCGTCTGTACGTACGGCCTCCAGGCGTTAGTAGTAGTAGGTAGGAGTAGGTGGGTTTCTGAATTCTGACTTCTACTCCCTAAAGTCTGATGACGGCACGCCCCAATGGAAAAAATAAAATAACATGAGCATACGAGGAAAGTTAATCTATTACTCAATCAGAAAACTCAGATACTCCGTCGTACCACAGCATGCGAAAAAGCGTATCATTTATGATTTCCCCAATTTAACGGCCTTACTTTGGGTTTAGTCTATTAACCGAGTCAAATGAAACGGACAGAGTACAACTTCTCGGCCGCTACGCAGGCAGGTCTCAGCTTGCTCCTCTGTACTTGCTACCTTGTTTGCGGGCAGATTTACCAGAGACTACGGAATATGACCGCATCGGCCTTCCGAGCACCCGAAGTTCTCCGCGACCGAGTAAAAATATGTTTTTCTCCCTGGTAAATCCTTCCGCGCCCATCGAGCGTCATTACGGAATGCTTTATCCGGAAATACCGGTGGCCGGTACCAAGTAGCAGGGCGAAATGAAACCCCAAAGAATTAATCTCCAGTGTCTCGGAGGCCTGCGACATGACGCTTCCATTTCCGCCGCTGGCACCGAAGAGCAAAGTCAGATCAGATAGAGGTGTAATCGGAAATAAATCAACCTGCAATCCATCGATCCCACTCCTGCTCCTCACCTAACTGGTTGAAGGTCCACAATCGAAGCGGGAGAAGCTCCCAGCGAAAATCTCCTGGTGGAGAATATCTAGACGCCAACTAGTTTTCTTTAAATTCTTTTTTCTGAAGCCAAAAAAAAAAAAAAAACAAAGGGAGGGACCCATCCGGCCCTGAGGTACTTGCAGCGGATGGTGCAGAATGAGTTGAACACTCGTCAGAAAGAAACAATATACAAACTGCTTGTATGCTCGACACTGGTAAACCCCGGCGTTGATAAAAATAAATTAGTTGATGTGATTTATCACACCTTGGTTTCTATTTCTTTTTATTTGGAGGTGGCAAGGATTCGATACCACCTATTGGAACCACGGAAAGCGACTTGGAGCGGTTTTTTTTCTTCTTTGGCTTCAGAAATAGTAATTAAAAAAAAAAAAAAAAATCAAAGCTAGCGCCTGCCTATGAGATGAAACGAGGTGCGTGGCGATGCCAAAAATTGCCAATTGGACCGATTGCTGCCACGCGCGGGGAAGCAAAAGTACGGATTAAGGTCTAGACGGTCTCTGGATGCAGAAGCACTGTGCTTGAGTCTTGAGTGGTTTGATCTTGACTCATCCGCCGGCGTATTTCCTGCTGGGTGGAAGGGCCCAAACTCCTAGGGGGCTGTCTGGAGCAACGTCATTTCCTGGACGGTGTGGATGGAATATCCCCTCTCTCGTGACGGACCTCGATGCAGAGAGATATATAGTCGTGATCACGGACCTCCCCGAAGCCAGTCTGTTGAGGGGACCGTACGCATCAGAATCCCGGATGGATGTACAGGGTACATGTATAAGCATCGCGATGACGTCAAAGCGATCCCAGCGAGGGCTTTTGCTCGACAGGTTGAGCATAAAACAGCATCACGATGCATATCAACCGTTGAGGGCGAGGTAACACCGCAGGTATATCATATGCAGCCCTCGCCCACTAAGCTGGATGAAGTGGTGGGAAGGTGACGAGTAGTGGGATGATAGGCGCCGATGGACGTCCGCATGTGAGCGAGGGTTGCCTACAAATAGGACGTACGAAGGGCGCGAAGGAATGACAGCGGCAGAGGACTGAAGCCCCATCCTCTCCAGATCCATCTCCCCAATCTACATACCTTAACTGTATCTAGATGGGTATTTCCACCTCGGGCGGAGCAAGTGGGCAAGTTACCATTGTTCGAATCTTCAAGGAACAAGGCTGTCACTCTCCACTCACACAAAGATAACCTTGATAAGGTTCTGTCCCTGCTCATGTGGGATTGTGGATGTGCCATGAGGACTGAGCGCCCAGGGAGCCAATATTGGGCCGGCGGGACTGTCAAATTGCGGAGAATGGGATGCAGGAGTCAATCCATCATGAAGAATTCAGGAGAACGGCACGAATTCCGTGGGCATTTCTTCCAGACATGCCGGTAACCCCTGAGCGTCGCCCCTGACGCACCCAACCGGCCAACTCAGTTGGGATGTTTCAGTTGGAAACCGAAATGAAAAAGAATGGCCGGATGAAAAGAGGAAGGACAATGCGATCGGAAGCAAGAGTCGGGAAGTACAGCCCGTAAGTACCGTACGGCGTACACACCGTAGGCAACCCGGTTCCCACGAACCTCCCTCCTCTCGGGGCACAGAGTAGGGCCACCCGCCCCTCCATCAGCTTATCACATCACCCCTCTTTCGTTTCTTTGATATTCCCCTCATCGTCGGGTGTCCCAGGAGCTCGAACCGCGTCCCTGAACTCTGTTAATCCTGGTATTCGAGGCATAAGTGCGTTTCGTCACCGGTCGTATAATATACTCCGTCCATTATAAATCCTTTTCGATTCGAAAGAGTCGACTGGGCTAGAACGGCGCACCTATCCGCTTGCGTTGTTCCTGTAAGCCGGTAACGAAAAGTCCATGCCAAGTCCCATTTACGTAGCTGTATGCGGCCAGAGTACCACCGAGGTACCCCCCTCTCCTTCCGATGGCTGTCTTCGGCACACGTCCGATTCTTTCATTGCCAACCACCTCGTCATTCCCCGACATGTAAGAGAAAAAAACAAAAAAAAATGGCAAGCACAGCCAACCGCATATCCCGGAACGGCGATTTCAACTTTCCCCCTGCTTGCCGCTGCTGCCAACCAAATTCAATCGTACTTTTCATTCCCTCCCCTGCTTTCCCGGTCGACATTCGGAATTAGCTCTCGTCGTTTAAGCCGATGCCGCCGTTTTCCTTCGATCATTGGGTCATCAATCGCGATTCTCCAACTGTCCCGGAAGAATGAGCCAGAGGATGAGGTGCAAGGCCAACCGTAGAACCCTCAACCTCTGCTGCTAACGGTAAAGTTACTTTGCAGCTGTTGTTTTACCCCAAAGAATAAAATACGCAAGTAAAAAAAAAAAAATCGACTGCTCGGCTCTGGTCTTATTCTCGGAAACCGGGTGAGGCACGAATCAGGTTAACGGCACGGCAGCCGTCCCAAACGTTGGGTGCTGCTGACTGGATAACCGTAATAAATTATTTCATTATTTTATTTTATTCCATTTTTTTTTGCGTCGTCTTTTGCCTCCTCGAGTTACGATCGTCACCGCCCGTCCCTCTCACAAGTCTCAACCTTTTTCAATTAATTGTCCTTTTTTTATTTTTATTTTTTTAAATTCGGTATTTTCTCTTCTCCTATCTTGCCCAGAAATTATCAACATTATTACTTTGCCATTTATTTATTTTTTTTTTTTTTAAAAAAAAAGAGAGAGCGAGAGAAAGAGAAAGAAAAGGAAGAGCCAGAGCGTGCGAGAATTTCGTCCCCAAAATTTGACATTTTCCTCTATTGACCCTCTTAACTTTGCGCCGCCGTTCGTCGCCCCCCTCCTTCTCCCTCCATTCTCCGTGACTAGACGGCTACCCTGGGTACTGTCTTTTTGGTAATTATTATTATTATCATTATTATTTTTTATTTTTTGATTTTAGTTTCCAGCTTTTTTTTTTTTTTTTTTTTCCCTCTAAACATTTTATTTCACTCTTTTTCTTTTTTTGATTCCCTTTTCCCTTTTCCCTTTTCTTCACCTTTTCTCTCTCTTCTGCTTCTCTGGCCACCGGTCCTTCTACGTGTTGTCCCTGGCAGAGCTCGTATTTATTTTATTTCATTTCATCCATTTGAAAAAAATCCCTGGTCAATCCCGCGCATTGTTGACGCGAAGCAAAATTTGGCTAGCAATTTTTTTCCCTTCTAGCAGTTGTTGCTAGACCCACCTACACGCCGCCTCCCTGGTGGATCAGAACCATTGACTGTTTTGACAACGTGCGGATAAAAAGAAGTTCCCACACAACTCGATTTTCCTGGTGGGTGACCGTGGGGAATTCACGATTAAGCATCTCGACTTCATCCTCATCTCTTTTCTGCAGTGGAGTCGCATTTGTTCCTGAGCGCCCTTTTGTCGTCGACTGCAAGGATTCTTCACTGTCGGCTGGCTGAGGAATTGATCGCCCGTTGGAATTTGCTATCCTAACCACGTCCTTTCCGCTCCGTCCTATCTCCGCGTCAGGTTGAGTCGATTGATCCTGTCGAGGGACCAGAAAAGACAGAAAGAAGAAAGAAGACACGTCTTCGAGGAAGAAAAGATCAGAGAAGAAAGATTGAAGACCAGGACTTCGAAAGCAAACCAAGGAAGTGATCAGGAATTCGATCGCAGATTTTTTTTTTCGGCATTGGCACGCTTGTTACACATCTCGCGCAGCCTCTGGTCAGAAGACAACCTCCCAGTGAAAAAAAGGATTTCTCGCTTGGAAATCAATGATCGGGATACCGTGAATCTTGCTTGCAGTTCAGCCCTATCTCTCTTTCTCTCGCGTCTATCACCCCCTCTCCGCTTCACGATGGATCCTAGATCTCATCCATCACGGCCCCCATCCACCAGTCTCCCCCAGGGTTCCACGCCTCTCTCCTCGACACCTATCTCGAGTATGCCAATGCCGCCTCAGTACAGCATGCAGCCTCAGTACCCGGTGTCCCAGCCGCATACCCTCCCCCCGCTGCAGCCTCATCACAGCCAGTCTCCTGCCCCTCATTCCTACATGGGCCAGCCGCCGTACAGGCCGGATCTGTCGAGGTATCCCACCACCACTCACGATGTTTACGCGTCTTCCACCGCTCCCATAATGCCTCATACCAGCGTGGGCAGCTTGCCTCCATCGTCGTTCCTCTCCCACCCCAACCCGCAGGCGCAGCCTCAGCCGTCGCAAGCCTACCCTCCGCCTCACAGCGTGTTGCCTCCCGCGTCCAGCGCCCAGACTTACCCGCAGCCGATTGCTCCGGCGCCCCCGCGGGACCGCCGTCCTGACTACTCCGGACTCCCTTCGGGCGCGTTCAGCTACAACGATGGCAAGGGATCTCCTTGGATGAACCCTGACCCGGTCGCGGGCGCAAACGGTGGCAGCCCGTATGGTGCAAAGGAGCCTCCTCGCACCCAGGTGGTGGGATCCCAGGGCCGTCGCGGTATCCTCCCGAGTGTTCCGGGACGCGCCGCCCCCGTCGCGAATGGTGTCAACGGCAGCGCCAAGAACACCACGATTCCGGCCAAGGATGCTGACGGCAAATTCCCTTGCCCGCATTGCAACAAAACGTATCTTCACGCCAAACATCTGAAGCGTCATTTGCTCAGACGTAAGTTTTTCCACGCGTTTTCTTGTTCGATCCGATGACGCGCGCTCCGTGGCTTCGAGAGGATCGATCTTGTTTTGACCGTCTCTAACATATGCTTCTTTTTGTCCACAGACACCGGTGATCGCCCGTACATGTGTGTTCTTTGCAAAGACACTTTCTCTCGAAGTGATATCTTGAAGCGCCATTTCCAGAAGTGCTCGTTACGCCGAGGCAACCCCACCGGTGCGACTCACTTGTCTCATCCCCAGGCGCATTTGAAAAGATCCCAAGCTGCGGCCGCCAAGCCGGTTCAGGATGAAGTCACCAGTGCCGTTCCCCCTCCCAATGGGATGCCCGGGGCGACTTTCGGCGACGGAGCCGTGAACGGCAACGGTCTGGCTCACGGCCGACCTGGGTATGCGGACCAGCAGCCTCTGGGCTTTTCGATGTCGTCTGTCAACGGGATGAGCCGTGGGCAGCCCGAGGACGCTTTTCCCCCGGGCCAGCCTCCTCAGCGGGGCCCCTGGCTGGCAGCTCCTAAGCAGAACCCCTACCTCGTTCAGCCTGGCACCGATGCGTCCGGCCAGCACCTGAACGTTGACCGTCCTTCACTTGAGCAGGTAAAACCCCCGGTCGTTCAAGATCCCAAACGCCCAGTTATGTCTGGGCCCACTCCCCATCACACTGGCGAAATTGACTGGACTTCGATGTTTCAGCCCGGAGCTTCCGATGGTTACATAAACCCCGTTTTCCCTCAGTCCATGGCATCTGGCCAGGAGCCGATCCACGCTCACGTCGACGCCGAGCGGAAGTACTACCCCACCACCACCGCTGGTCCCCAGGAGGGCGGAATGAATGGTCTTTATCTGGCATCGACCACTTTGGGCGGCGACGGTAAGTTGATCTCGTGAGCGAAGTTGAGAACTTTGCATCTTCCCTTCTTGCCATGTGCTTTCAAAACTACGCGGTGACTCACGAACGAACCCCAGGTACCGTCCAGCCCGCGCGTCAATAGAGGCGAGATGGAGTGGATGTGTGATAGCCGATTGAGTCGAAGCTCAACATCACGACGTGCACGTTAAAAACGAACTAGAGCTCTTTTTTTTATTTTGCTCTCTCTCTTCAACCCTTGAAAATGAAAGCAGCTCAATCTTCTTTTTTGTTTACAGGTTGTGTGTGGAACCGGCGTTCTTTGCGAACGAACAGCGATCATCTTCGTCTTCCTCAGGATCTAGGAAGCTCCGAAAGATTCGCCAGCGGATCCCGCAAGAAAGTACCAAAAGTGGGAGAAAGTTTCTATCAATTTGCATAGACCAGGTGCAGTGAGCTTTCGGCGTTACTCTTTGACCATCACGACATCCCATCATCGATTACGAAAGAAAAAAAAGAGGGAGCGGACTCTTTCCGCCTCCCTCCATCGCGGGTTATTTCTTCGGCTTGTTCATTTGATATTTTGTTATTTTTTTCTCGAAAACCGTGCCAGCATCATTTCTCTTGATTTACTACGGCGAGTTTCAACTTTGCGGCGGTCCAGGATTTGTTTTGATTTGCTTCCATCCATTATGAGTGGGTTGATGGTTTGGTGTGTGTGGTTTCTCCGGCGTCCAATCATAGACTTGGGCATGATGCGTTCTTCGATTTTTTCCTCGTTTCTGCTGCTTTGGCAGTGTCAAAAGATTTTACGGGAGGGCTTCTGTCAACACTTCGTCCCCGTCATTATTGTTTTTCCTTGTGTCGAATCCCGAGTCGCATGAAGGTCGACTGTGCTTGGGTTTGTTTGCATAAACGTCACGGCCGCGTCGATCTGCATGTTCGTTTCTCCGTCCACCCGTGTAAGTAGCTTATGCATCTTCCCTTCGGACATATGAGTGTTGTTCATTTTCATTTCATTTTCTTTTTTTTCTTTCTGGGGAAGGCGGGGGATCATGGGGAGATGTTGTATGCTTGTTTTCCTTTCTTGTTTTCCTTTCTTCATTTCCTTTCTGTGGTTTCTCTTTCTGTCTGGTTTTTTCCATTTTCATTTCTCTTTCCTCTTTCTCATCTCCTCGTTCACTTCCCGTTGCGCGTTGATTGCGAAACACCGGCAACGTGTTGTTTTATTCCAAACGCTTTTTCGTGGCTGGGTTGCTCTGGGACGACGTGACTCCCCCCTCCAGCGAGGGCTCCATTGCGTGTCCGTCGACCTTGATGCATTGCCCCTGGTCAGCCCAAATGATGTTCCATACGTCGGTTGTCTGATTGTGTCTCTATCTGTGTTTGCATTTACATTCTGTCTTTCTCCGGGGGGACCGATCCGGGCCTGAGATGTTTTCTATATTCGCTGCATTTCTGTACTGGCACTCGGCCTGGGATGACGGTTCCACGGGGGAGGACAAGGGATCAAAAGCTAGAATATAGACTTATGTGATTAGATCCAAGAGCCATAATAGAAGTATGCCAGAGTAACTACACTGAGAGTAAGAATGACGGGGGCATGTGATCTCGGGGGAGACCGGAAAACGCCGGAGCAACGGAGGAGCGTCTTTTCTTGTTTCTTTCTCTTCCCGACTTCTTGTGACTTTTGCGCCGTCTGGCCGTCTGGACAACCCCGCGTTCCCCCGGACTGATCGATGGACTGATGCATACTCTCTCCTCTTCTCGCTCTGTCTCTCTTGGTGCGGGGCATCCAAGACCTTCAGAAGTTCCACTTCTGATCTCTCCACAGCCAAAGACGTCACTCCCGACTTTGCTTTGGCGCCGCCCGATATCCGCCTGCGATGATTGGTGGTCTCGCGTCAGCGGCAACGGGACGCCTCGGAGAATATCGATTTCCCTGCCTGCGACTCCTACCTCGACCTCCTCTTCTTTAAAACCTTGTCGTCTCTCGTGCCTTCTTCAAGGTCCCTGCCTCAAAGTCGTGCTCATCGCCCCTTCGCTGGATGCCGGTCTGCGTCTAGACATACCAACGACTACAGGCTCATTGTCTGGAACCCTCCTTACCAAACTCGCCGCCAGTGACGCAAATAGGAGCCATCTCCCCTCCTCCGTATCCTTCTCACTAACACTCCCTCTCTTCTCCACTCTCCACTCTGCTCAATAATCAAACCACCGACACTGTACAAGTTCAACCCGACGGGGTGTTGCGTGTGTGTATATGTCCACCAGACGGCCGGATTCTGATACCCAAGACCACCACCACCCGCCCCGATCCACCATGTCCACCAACAGGCCTTTCCTGGCCAACTTCCTCGCGGCTTTCCGCGCCCAGTCCACCTACAAGGCATCCACAGCGGGCACGCAGTCCGCAACGGGGCCTTCTGCGCAACTGGCCCAGAACGCCCGAGCGATAGCCACCAAGGCCGCCAGCTCCGGCGCTTCGTCCCCGGAGCCCGCCTCCACGACAACTCATCACTACCATCACCATCACCATCACCACCCATCCGCCTCGACCTCCTCCTCGTCCGCTCACTCTCGACCAAACTCCCACCCCCGCCAACCGCTCAATCAGACCTCCGCCGCCGACTCCCCCGCCACTCCGTCCTCCCCACCCACAACCCCGGCCTCTTCCTCCACCCCCATCCCTATCGCCAGCGGCCACAACCGCCAACGCCGCGGCAGCGATAGCTCCAACGGCTCCGGCGGGTTCCGGGATGCCTTGGGGCCGGAGAAGTGGTATATCGGAGGGAGGACGCCCGGCGGGGACGAGCGGTTCTATCGATTAGGCATGGTGACCAAAGGGGGTGGTCGGTTGGGTGGCAGCACGCGAGTCGGGAGTATTGACCAGCTGAGTTTGTGAAAATCATCTCTTACCTACAGTCTCCTGCGGATTTCGGGTTTGAGTTTTGTCCATTTTGAGGATCCTTGAAACTTACGAACTACCGCGAGATAACTTTTCTCTTTTTGGCCTTTTTTCTTTTTTGTTAACCACCCGTGAAATTCCCTGAGGGATACCTATGATACTGGGCGTTTGGAACTTGAGTTCAAGCATGGATGGCGTTGCTGGTTGGCTGTTTGGTTTATGGCATGAAATTTGAAGACTCCAGTCAAATTCTAGAAAAAGACGATGTTTTTTCGCTTTCTTTTTGCTCATTTGCTTTGACTGAAATGTTCTTCCCTTCTCTGACCTTCTCTTCTCTACTCGGATCTTGTACATCACATGGGTGGGTTGGATGTATGCTGCGTGGCGAGGACGAGGTCCAGAACCAAAAGCTAAAGACACGGAGAAAAAGCGGAGGTAGACGAAATCAAGGAGTGTGAATCGGTCTGTTTGATTGAATACAAAGTCTCTTCTTTTCTTCGATCCATACTGTATCGTTTGAGTGGGGATTTAAATCTACTATACAATCCTTCCATACTCTAAGTGCCGAGGCCTACAATCCCTCGAGAACAGGAACCTGCTGCGTCACGCAATGCAACACGCCCCCCATACGAGGCAGACAGTTCACACGCACCGTCCGCACCTCCCTCTCCGGCAGCAACCGCCGCATCGTCAGCACAGCGCGCTCGTCTGCCCCCGGGTCCCCAAACACCGGCACCACGACGGCCCCATTGACGAAGTAGAAATTGACATACGACGCCGCGGGGTGTCCCTCGTCCACGTCCCTCTTCACATACTGCGGATCCGGCTCCTCGATCTCATGCACTTCGAAGCGTCGGCCGTGCGCGTCCGTCTCGCGGGCTAGTATCGACTGGATTTCTTCGTAGACAGCCATCCATTCGGACCGGGTTCGCGCAGTAGCAGCATCAGTAGCAGCAGCAGGAGGAGAAGAAGTTGAGGTGGTAAGGTGATGAGAATACCCATACGGTCTCGAAACCACCACGACACCGGGTCTCACGACGCGGACCAACGCGTCGACATGCGCATCCGTGACATCGAGTCCCTTTCGCCCCGGGAACCAGATGAATTTGCGAATACCTAGTAACCGGCTCAGTTCTCGCTCTGCGGCCTCCTTCGTGACGCCTGGGTTCCGCTCCGCGCAGAGGATACTGCTCTCCGTGGCGAGGAAGGTTCCCTGCCCGTCGACTTCGATGCCGCCGCCCTCGAGCCGGATGCGGGAGGGGATGCGGGAGATAGGGCCGGTAGAGGAGGCGGGGAAAGAGGCGATCACGCGGGCGGCGAAACCTGTGTTTTCGGCTAGAGTGGTGGGCGAGGGGATGGGCCAGGCGTTGGGGTCGGCGTCGGCATCGTCCTTGGTCGGGTTAGGGTTGGGGTCTGGGACGTTGTCGGTGTGTTTGTTGCCCCATTCGCAGAAGGAGAAGTCGATTGCGAACCGGCGGTGGGAGGAGGTGGTGGATGGGGATGTAGATGCTGCCGGACGAACAAAGACCGGCCCTGTATCCCGGACCCAGCAGTGGTTTGTCGGGCAAGGAAGGATGTGGATTTGAGATGCGAGATCGTAGGTGGTGGTAGTGGCGTTAGCGTTCTGGTACTGGCTGTCCTGGCGAAGGCTTGGGTTCTTGATCTTGCTTGCAGGGTGGTGATGGATTCGCTGTTTGACCAGTTCTCGCGCGGAGACGATATCCTCCGGGCGAGTATACAGCCGCACCGGCTCGAACCCTGCAATGGTCGCTGCTAGATCGACGATCTCGCGACAGGTTCCTGCATGCAGGGCTTTGGAGACCGACTGTCGCGAGGGAAAGCCGAGGATGGTGGCGGCGTGGGGGGTGGATTCATGGGGGAGGTAGTATTTAGGTTCTTGTTGTTGTTGTTGTTGTTGTTGTTGTTGTTGTTGTCGTTGTTGATGGTGATGGAGACATGAGGCGTGGAAGGGGTATTTTGATTTAGAAAGCTGGATTGTGGTTAGTTGGAATGCTAGATCAGGGGTTGTGTAGACTCGAAGAGAAAACGAAGCTTACCGTTGCTTTGGAGAGTCTCCCTACCCTAGAGGGATTGAGGAATCGGATGCCCATGTTGATGTGATGTGATGCAATGGAGTGGAAATCCATGTTTGGATTTCTTAAACGAGGTTGACTCGGAGTCCGCGGACTGCCCGAGTCACATGCTTGTCAACTGGAAGAATCGGACATTCGTATTTATTCGAGTCTGGATAGTGCTTCTAATATTCTGTTACAAAGTAGCAAGTAGCATTTGATCTCACTGACGGGGGATCTCCGAACGACTCTCATGTTCCAGGAGACGCTCCCTCTCTTCATCTTCCACATCCGCCTTCTGTCCATTACTGAGCCACAGCATTGGGATCGCTGTCACGCCTGCTAGTAACCCTAATGTTAAGGACGTGATCTTCCATCCATACTGATACTCCGAAAACCCGCCCCATAGCGGACCTAGGGTCAATCCTAGAAACTGGGCCATCGTCTGGATGCCAAACGCCTGCGCCACGGCTCCCTTCTCGCCGAAGACTCCTGGTCGAGTACGCTCCATGTCATCGAGAACTTGCTGTGTTTCGACAAACAGAGCTGGAATGCTCACGTTGATCAGGAGTCCGATCAGGCCGAGGAGGACCAGTAGCAGCACGACGTGGGCTGTGGTGTTCTGCTCCACAAACCGCAGACAAATGAGCGGCGGAGCCAGGAGGATAAAGCTCAGGAAAGTAATCAGACGCGCGCCATAGCGGTCCGAGAGGGTACCTGTTACGCCATTCCTTGCATTAGCTAGGTCCTCACGACGTGGGGAGTCATGACCGGCATAAGCCTACCGAAATAAGGCTCGAAGAGAGCGGTGACGGCGGAGGGAAGGAAAGCCATGCCGGCTCCGAAGGGTCCCCAGTGGAACCGCGATTCAACAAAGACGGGGATGGTCTGGATGGAGTTAGCATCGAGCCCAACAATCACAAAGTAGGACGATCCAGGGGCAGCCTACTGAATCAAATGCCGAATATAGCATGCCCTGGACGAGAAGAGCCCACGACGAGATCATGACCCGGGGTTGTCGCGCAATGAGCAAAAGCGCTGGCTTTTGCGACCCGGAGAGAGTTGCGTCCGACGAGGATTCCGGGTCTGCAAAGGTGTCATAGCCACGATTGGCGGGCAAATGGGGCGCGGATTCATTGACTGCTTCGGACCCTTCGGCCGTCCAACGACACGCGACCTTTTTCTCTATCACCGCAATCCGCATGATCACATCGATTGCCACGATGGCGAAGGCCATCCCGAAGACCGCCTGATAACCCGCTATTTGATATACCATGCCTCCCAACAGCGGACCCAGAAGAAATCCCAGAGTAATGGCTGACCCCAGATACCCGATGGTTTGGCCGAGGTTGTCGAATGAAACGGTGTCGGTCAGCAGGGACAGACCGGCCACCGAGACCATGGCAGTCGCGCCACCTTGGATCAGCCGCGCGAGTACAAATAGGCTCACAGTATGTGCGACGGAAAGGATCACCATGGAGGCACCCAACAGGATTAGACCCAATAGGTAGGGAAGTTGGCGGGTGGGAGTGACGTCGACCACGTAGCCAAAGGTGGGACAGCAGACGAAGGCGACTGCGGCTTCGCACACGAGCAGCACACTAACCCAGTATTCCCCTGTTGACAAGAAACGCTCAGTTATAGCTCCAGACACGGTCGAATTGGAAACATACGCTCTTCATACGGCACACCTGCCCGGTCGACCAGCGCAGTCGGCATGACGGGGACGATCTATTCACAGCAGAGGTCAGCGAAAGGCGGCGCATTGGTCGGAATCCAAAGATGCGGCTTACCATGGCATAGAGAAAATAGTCCTTTAGAATGAGATCAGCAGGGGGTTCATTGTAGATTGAGACGGTTGAGGGCATGATCGAGGGCTTTGCGCTATTCTTCCATCACCACCACCTACCGTGAAAAACGAGATCCAGACCGTCGCAACGATAAAACCTGCAGAGGAGCGCAGCCGTAATAGCCATGGCGGGCGTTTCTGCCCTCCCGGCGAGAGTGGCCACATTGGAGCGAATGCTGGTGGAAGTAAATACAGCAGACGAGCACGCGACGTTCAGCTGAAGTTGCTGCAGAAGGAAAAAAGATTGAAGGCCGCGTTTGGGCTGTGGGGAACTATTGGCAAGCGGCCGAGGCCGTTAGCCTGACAGCTGGCGACAGTCATGACTGAGAATGCGGATGGGCGGTGTCGGTAATTTGGGATTTATTGAATGCATCAATTCCTAGATCTTGCATCGGCATCCATGAAGCAGCCTAGAATAGAAAGGGTTGATGGCTGACGAGGATCTGTGCTGTCCCTGCGCATCTCCATGTCCGGGGGATCGGCAGACATTGCAGCTGCTCCGTGTCCTCGTTGCTGTCATGGCCTGATCTGATTGATTTTCTTCCAAATGCCGATCGGAGGATGAGCAAGTGTAAGCGTCGGAGCAAAAGAGCCAGAGAGCGAGAGTGGGAGAATGAAGAATAACTAGAGACGAGGGACAAGGAGAACAAAGCGATAAGATAAGGCGGTCATCGGAGGTGGCCGACGCTCTCCATCAGACCATCGCTCAACCCTCGCCGTCGTCCTCCGCCGCTTTTCGTCGGCCATTTAAACTCGCGGTTTCTTGCTCTTTTTTCCTTTCTTTCTGCCTGTCAGTCAATTGATTCTGTTCCTCCTGTCTGGATTGTCCCTTGCCTGACCTCGCTGTCGATCTACCGTCCAGATCTTATCCTATCTCTCGATCTTATCAACACGAGCTCTCTCACAATGGCTGAAGTATCCGCAGCTCGTTACGGCAAGGACAATGTTCGCGTCTACAAGGTGCACAAGGATGAGAAGACCGGCGTGCAGACCGTGGTCGAGATGACCGTCTGCGTGTTGCTGGAGGGCGACATCGAGACTTCGTGAGTACCCCTTGTTCCCTTGCCCTAGAGGACTCCTTGGTTAGAACAGAAGAGAATCTAATGGCATCCCAACCAGCTACACCAAAGCCGACAACAGCGTCATCGTCGCCACCGACTCCATCAAAAACACCATCTTCATCCTCGCCAAACAAAACCCCGTCACGCCGCCGGAGCTCTTCGGCTCCATCCTGGGCTCCCACTTCATCACCAAGTACAACCACATCCACGTCGCCCACGTCAACATCGTCACCCACCGCTGGACCCGGCTGACCGTCGATGGCAAGCCGCACCCGCACTCGTTCGTGCGCGACAGCGAGGAGAAGCGCACCGTGCAGGTCGACGTGACCGAGGGCCGCGGCATCGCCATCACCTCGGGCCTGTCCAAGCTGACCGTGCTCAAGAGCACCGCCTCGCAGTTCTGGGGCTTCCTGCGGGACGAGTACACCACCCTCAAGGAGACCTGGGACCGCATCCTCAGCACCGACGTCGATGCCACCTGGTCCTGGAAGCCCTTCGCCTCGCTGGACGAGGTCCGCGACGTCGTCCCCAAGTTCGACGCCACCTGGGAGCGCGCGCGCGAGGTCACCCTGAAGATCTTCGCCGAGGATAACAGCGCCAGCGTGCAGAACACCATGTACAAGATGGGCGAGCAGATCCTGGCCTATCAGCCGCTGCTGGAGACGGTGGACTATTCCCTGCCGAATAAGCATTACTTTGAGATTAGTACGTTTGCCTCCTCCGTTTGACCCTCGCGATGTTTTTGAGTACTGACGTGGCTGGCTGTCTTAGATCTGGAATGGCATAAGGGCCTGCAGAACACCGGCAAGAACGCCGAGGTGTTTGCGCCCCAGACTGATCCCAACGGTCTGATCAAGTGTACCGTGGGACGGTCGTCGGTGAAGCCCAAGCTGTAGAATCCCCTAGACATGCATGACGGATAAAGAATAATTGTGTCGGTTTCGGGAGTTTTCGACGGTCAACTGTAAATAGTGTGGGATATGATATAAAGGCATACATGACAAGCATTTTCATTTTATTTTTCTGTTTCTTCTTGTCCGAGTTCCCTCATTGGATCGTATGGTATAATACAAAGACACCAATCTCAAATCTGTAGGAAAAGATGCAAGTTAAAAAGTATGAAAAGTCACATAAAAAAGGAACTCCCACCCATGCGCTAGCAAATGATCAAAAAAGACAAGACAGAAAGATAGACAGCACGGTACGGTATGTATAAAATTACACAATCGAAAACACTCCAGAGGTACGTAGAGCAGAAGTCGAAATAATACAGCCCGAGAAAGGGTACCCAGGGACAGAAAGCTCCCTTAGGCAGAGACCTTGGCCTCCTTGAACGCCTGCTGCACCTCCGGCATATTTCCAATGACCGACTGATTCCCGAACTTGACGATGTTGGCCTTGTAGGGGTGAGCGAGGCCCTCGAACGCTGCAGATTTGTTAGCCAATATCTGAATAGAGGGGGGAATTCAGAGAGGACATACTCTTCAACCGGGCCAATCTCTTCTCCCGCAGACGGTTCTTGGGCAGCATGCCTCGCACGGCACGGCGCAGGACTTCGCCGCCGCCCCATTTCTCAAACATCTTGTCCATGGTCATGCTACGGAGACTGCCGGGACGAGTGGTGTGGGTGTAGTACTTCTTCTGGAAGCGTTTCTTGCCCGTGGTGCGCAGGTCATGGCAGCCGACAGCCACGACGTAGTCGCCGCAGTCGGTCGAGGGGTCGTAGATGGGCTTATGCTTGCCCATGAGGAAGAGGGCGATGGAGGAGGCGACGCGACCGAGCGAGCGGCCGTCGGTGCCCACGTCGACGTGGTGCCATGTGCGCGAGTAGGCAAGGCGGGTCTATCGAGCTCCCCGGGGGAGGGGAGAGGTTGTTAGTATGGGTTCATTGCCAATTGCCCTTGTCGAGGGCGAGGTTATTGTACCTTTCCGATGGTTTGCGACATGATGATCGAGATTGGAGCTGGAGACTCCGGGGTGAATGGAAAATCAATTGAATGGACAACAGCAGATCAATGGACGCAGACCGACACCACAAGAAAGAGAACCGTACAAGTCCGGGGCCAGAGCAATCCCAAGTCCGAAGCCAACCAGAGCTGCCAGTCTCGAACATCGAGCGTCTCCGAAGTCAGAGTCCGCAGCGGGTAGGCCACGTGACCCGCGCAGACAAACAGAGCAAACCGCAGCCCTAGAAACGGCACTAGCGCCAACACTAAGCGAAGGCCTCCCGCACGGAGTCGCTCCCGTCGAAGCAGCCCGTCCGCAAAATTCATCGAAAGTAGCCCGAGACGACAACTTCCACCACACTCCCTCTCCGACACCGATCAGGGCCATTCGATCACCATGGCTTCCGTTCCGAGTGTGCAATGCTTCGGCAAGAAGAAGACGGGTGAGTTTGTGATTCTGTGCGCTGGGGACGATCTTGCGAACCGCCCGTGGCATGCGCTTTTTGTGTGCGCCTGGACGCAGGTGATATAATCATCTACATGGGATGGAGGGCTAACGAGTGATGTCTATCTAGCCACCGCTGTCGCCCACTGCAAGGTATGAGAGAACCGTCTTTTGTTGAATCCCTGTGATTGTCTACACCGTGCCCTTGAATTTTGAGATCGAAAATGGAACACATTCTATGGGAGCCTGGATGAAGGAAGGAGAAGGAGACCACCCGCAAAGATACGAAAGAAGAAGAAAGAGCAGACATGAATGTGAAGGAAAGACAAGAGGAGGAGAACCAACACGCGCACCATGATCTTTTATCCCACCGACTTCATCCAACGCACACATCGATTTTCAACCCACCCGCAAAAAACCCCATAGGAAAAAATTACTGAGACTTCTTTCTCTTAACAGCAAGGCAAGGGCCTTGTCAAGGTCAACGGCCAGCCCCTCTCTCTGGTCCAGCCTGAGATCCTTCGCTTCAAGGTACGCCAACATCCAAACCACCTCGATCCGGCGGGGGAAAAAAAGGACCCCGGGGGGAAAGGACCGAAGAAAAAAGGACCCCATTCCTAATGAGATACCACGCAGGTCTACGAGCCCCTCCTCATCGTCGGTGCCGACAAGTTCGCCGGTGTCGACATCCGTGTCCGCGTCTCCGGTGGTGGTCACACCTCCCAGGTCTACGCCATCCGCCAGGCCATCGCCAAGTCCATCGTCGCCTACTACCAGAAGTACGTCGATGAGCACTCCAAGAACCAGCTGAAGCAGGCTCTTGCCCAGTACGACCGCACATTGCTCGTTGCCGACAACCGTCGCACGGAGCCCAAGAAGTTCGGTGGACGTGGTGCCCGCGCCAGGTACCAGAAATCCTACCGTTAAACGGGGAAAAGAGGGAAAAGACGACGGGATTCCGCCATCTTTCTTTCTTTTACTTTGCTCAAGACCCCGCCCTCTCTCTTCTATCGTCTTGTCGGAACGACGGGGAGAAAGAGGGGATACGAAAAAATGGAAAAAAGATTTTTGTGCAGAAACGCAGAATGGTGTCTACGGTGTACCGGGGAGGAAATCAAAAGGGAGAAAAAGAATCCATGGGACAATCAGGTTTTGGTTCGATTCTGGTTGCCGCTGTGGAATGTTGTTGTTTAATGGTGCGATACTGGGCCCGGTCTCGGCTGGATTTAGTATAGGCCAGCTATCTCAAATATCACCCAATTTTCTTTTCCTGTTCCTCGATGTGCCGCTGTGTGTGTCTTCTGTCGGGAGGAAGAGAGACGTCGCTCCAGATATTCATTCTGCGTTATGCCCGTGGGGTTCCCCTTGTGTTTAATGGTATCGGTTTTTGTCGGCTGGATTACAATGCTCAAATGTTACGAATTCAAGAATGTCTTCCAGCAACGGGAAAAAAAGGAAATGAACAATTACGACTTCCGATATGCACTTGTCTCTGGGCCCTGGGCATGGCGTAGCCTCATGTAGATCCTGCGCAACCTTCCCCAATACGTAGACAAACCCATCATCCATCCATCCTCAATCCCTACATGTGGGGTCGATCATCTCCGGTCTAGACGTCGAGAATGTGAAAGTGCCGGCTCTCATTCGATAAATCTTAAACCCACTATTAAAAACTTGCCCATTTCAAGCGTCCATCTTGATGAGAGTGAACGAAAAGATGGACTCGAACAATGGAAAGAATCTCCCGTCAACAACCCCAACCTAAGCCGACACTCTGTTGTCTGCCCAATGAATACCGTTGCCCAAGTGAGTACCGTTCAGTCCTTCACTGCCATCACTATCCTCCTCCTCACCCCCATCAAGCGAAAGGAGCTGGAAACGGTTGGGAATCGAGGCCGGTTTTTTTACTCCGCCTTGCACATCCTTCTTCGGTCCTGTGGGAATTTTGGCCAGGGGTTGGTTGCATTCGTCGGGATAGAACCCGATTCTCATGCCCTTGTAAGTAAGACGGGACATCATGCAGGACCGGGCAAAGAGGGCGTTATGGACGGAATTCGTGGAAATGTAAGCGTTCCCATTCTTGAACTTGACCGCCACCACAATCAAGTTATGGATATGATCGAGGTCCCTGCGAATGAGCCCCTCGGTGATGTTGGGGTTCGCATTGTGGAGGATGATGTTTCGCGACGCTCCGTTGTTGATTTTAGCCCTAACAAAGGGAGGCATGTAGAATTGACGATCATTCCACAAGACCTCCACCTGGGACGACAGATCGGTTAAGACACGACGTAGCACTGCTTGACAATGGATCAACTTACTCGTCTACCGGCGACATAGAACCCGTAATTTTTTGCATGTTGCAAGAACCCTTGGGCATCAGCTTCCTCGACGAAAGAAACGCTGGCAAGGTGTTCACGGGCTCGAAGATAAATATGTAGAAGCGCGCCGCCCCGCATGTTTTCGACAAGGTCTTTATGGGTGACTCGATCAGGTAAGTTGCGAATCAAGACAGTTCGTCGGTCGGCGGTGCCAGCAAAGGATCCCGTGGTCCTCGAGGATTCTTCGCAATCATCCTTCCCGTCACTGTCCTGGGGATCCATCAGGCCGTCCTCGTCGTCATCATCGTCATCGTCATCGTCGTAGTTTGTCGAGAGCCCATGGTTGTTGGAACGCTCATGATGGTAGTCAACGCTGGGGGAGGAAACTTCACGACGGCCCATAGGATTTTCCCGGATAACGCCTTGGTTTGGTTGCGTTTCGCGTAGTGTTGGACCATAGATCAATACCTGAAGAAAGCCTGTCAGCCTGCTTGCCCGCCGTGCTAACTTCGTAACTTTGTTCCATGAAGCACTGACATCGAGACTCTCCGTCGATAATCCTCCGTTGAGAAGTGATTCTTTCAATCTATCTATCGATTAGGTTAGGATGCGCAGTTAGATAGTGTATTTCTTGGGATGGAAATCGGCGCATGATGTGTCACATACTGAATCGTTCGCATTCTTGCAGCTGTCGTTCCAAGGATTGTTGGTCAGCACTGACGGCCAACCATGACACCGGATCATGAACACGACTAACCAAATGTTTATATTCGGAATTCGAGATCGTCACTGAATCAGGGTCGAGGAGCTTGTTTTCCGCGGATACATTCTGTCGATCGGCCTCGCCTGAGTTTAGCGGGCAAATGATAAGTACACCATTGATCGCTAACTCATGCCACTTACAGCTTCTGCTCTATCCACATTCCATCGCGTTAGCGGGTGGGTCTTGATTTGATGGGCCGATGTATACGAAGTATAGCAAACAGACGAGAAGCACGGCCACAACATCCCCGGAAAACAGGCAGGGAGATGAAGAACACTTACTGGCTGAGCAGATGTTCCAAATGGCGTTTTTCAACTGTAATAAATGCAGACATTGTATGAGCCGTGATATCTGGAAGTCACTTAGCACCCGGCACGACAGTCTGGGGGTAGGCAGAGGCGATTAAAGAGAAGACGAACCGTGGATGCCAGGATCCATAAAATAGACCGACAGGGGAACCTGATCAGTCGAGAATGAGATGGACGAAGATGCTGGAGTCAAGAGAAGAAGAAAAGAAGAAAAGGGGGTGCAAGGAAGGGAAAGAAAAGGGAAGAGGGAGAGAGAGAGAGAGAGAGAGAGAGTCTCGTGCCTTCCCAGAACCCCAAAGAAAAAAAGGAAAAAGAAAAAGAAAAAGAAAAAGCAACGAAGCGGATATCACAACGTCACCCCACGTTGATTTGAGACCAGCGTGGAGCTCTTCCACTGGAGACGCCCGGTCTCACAATCGATCTGACGTCTGGACCAGTCAACGGCGCCAGAAACCAATATGGATGGGTGGCTGCAGGGGACGATGTTCGGTACAGGCGCCAAAGGTTCCTCGCTCGCTCCCAATCTCGTCTCCCAATCTCCTGATCGCCATCAACCAACGGTGTCTCATGCGCTGCAGGTGGCGCTGGACAAGTCACAGTCATAGCACAAACTCAATTAATTTCCAGGCTCACCAGGCAAATCATAGACGTCGCATGGCAGACGACGCAAGGCGCGTCGCGATCATACCAGCCGATCCTCGAAGTCTATGATGATTTCTGACGGGCTTCTCTACGCCTAACGTCGATGCATCTGAGCTGTCTCGAGCCTACTTAACGTCTGTCATACATGAACAGGTGTTCGACTATCAGCATTGGACTCTGCGGTCGGTGGATCGCGCTAGAAATTTCCGAATATACATAATCATGACTCCAGCGCCGGAGAACGGCCGGAGAAAGACGAACCTGCGGAAGCATGTACGGGGCAAAACCGTTCTACGGAAATGGGGATGCCTTCTCCATCCACGGGCAACGTCCCGGCGCGAGATTGAATCATAGTTCCCCATTGCGAGGCTCTACGCGGTCTTTGGTTGACCGCCTGTGTCAGAACCCCTTGAGATTAGGTATTCCAAACGGGCCCACTGCCAGCAAGGAAGCAGCGCCGGCATCGACTCTTTGATTTACGCCGGTTTTCCCCTCCTTGGGCTCTTCGTCGGCGTCCGATGCCACTGGAAGCCGACTGGTGACAAATCTGCGTACCGCTCGAATGATGATCGCTTGCAGACTCGTTCAGCCAATATCGCGATTCGCCTCCGCATTTGGCTGTTCCCCCGTGGGCTGAGGGGGTTCTTGCTCCATTTCAGCCCTTTGTCGAAGGTCTCGCTCCTGTCGTCTTGATCGAAGGATTTGACTGGCGTTGGCGGCCACTTGCACCATGAAAATCGCCAGGAAAACACCCACAACGATGGTCTGCGAGACGTATGTTTCAGAATCCTGGCCTCGCATGCGCTGCTGCGCATCGAGCGCGAACGGGTGGGTGGGTCCCAAGGAAACCGAGACCGACATGAAAAACGGTGAAAAGGTCGTGAAGACGCCTGGGGTTGATACCGACATGAGCGAAGTGGATTGTCCTGCTATTAGCACGAGGACTGCGAAGACCAGGAGAGGGACGGCTAGTCATAAGACAGACGATAATGGAGGTCGGGAACGGGTCATCCTAGCGAAAGAATGGGTCAGTATCTGTTTGGCGAACCATGTATTCAGTATTGATTTCGTGGTGCAGACGAACCATTCGCGGGATTCGAGCTTCCGCACCCATCGTGCGGCGATTTTGAGTCTTTGCCGAACACTGCTTGTCGCTAAAAGCTCGTACTTTTCGTCCTCCCAGATCGGTAGGACACTGGCAAACCACCAAGGAAATCGAGCAGCATCGTCAGGAATGCCTCCGTACGCCAACAAAACCCGCGGGTGAAGCCATGTCACTCCTTGGCTGTGTTGTTTTCGTACAAATGCCCGGGCGAACTCAAAAAGTTCCTGAGTCGGCATAGTCTCCAATGGTTTCTCTCTACTCAAGGAGTCTGTAGGATCTGCGATGGAAGGTGCTGGCGGGACTGACGTCTCCAGTGATTCTCGTCTCTCCTCCTCTGTTATTGAGATGTCATCGACCGGTCGTATTCTCCCAACATAATACCCATCCACGATGTCCGAGCCGAGCACCTTGAAGCGAGACCGCCCTGTGACAATCACCAGACTTCGTCCGTCGGGAAGCGGTTCATATCGATCAACCACAACGACCGTGCCATACTGCATGAACCGAGATCTTCCGAGCTCCCCCTGGCTCTTGCCCGCGCGGTTCAGCATGACCATCCCAAACCTATGGTTTCGATTTCGCATGACCCTCCGCATCATCAGACGGTATCGGGGCTCGAAAACGTGAAGGAAGGTGGGCACCGTCGGGAGAGCAAGCGAGCTCACAAACAACGGGAGGGTCGTCTCATCATCAGTGCCGGCTGCGTCTCGAGTCGAACCCTCTCGTCGCAGAGCGACCTCCTCCGGAAACAGTGTCTCCATGAGACCCGCGACCCTTTTATTGGTTGGCTCCGCCTGTACCGTCGAGTCTACATTGAACTTCTGCCGACAGACAGGGCAGAGATCGGAGTGGTTCGTGGTCATAACGACACACCCGCGACAGAAGGTATGGCCGCAAGACGTCGTCAACGGGTCCAGAATCGGCGAGTAGCAAACATGGCAATCCAGCTCGTTCCGTATGGCCTCTCGGAGCCTGACCAATGTCGCATCGTCCCGATCCGTCTGCCCATGCGTCTCATACCGGACCCCGGACGCGTCGTAATCGAACTGGCCACTTTTGACCAGACCATAAGTTCCCTCCAACAAACCACCTCCCTGGTATGCGCTCTTTTCCTCGAATGCCCCCGGCATGTCTCCCCGAGGCCCTTGCCACGTCACTCTGAACCCTCCACCCTGCGCGGGGTTGGAGCCAGCTCCAAGAACCTCGTCGAACACATCCACCAGACGAGTCAGCAAGATGTCTCCCCCGCAGTCCCCCACGCAGTGTTCCCCCACGCAATCGGTATCGCATCGTTCCCAGTAGCAGGTGAATCCTCGCTTTCGCTCCTCATTTCCCGGATAGGTGATTCCCGTGCGCGTACGGATCGGCGGCAGACAGGCTCGACAGACGGGGTTGCCGCAGGGGAGTCGGAGGGGCGCGCGTAAAGGTCGCGAGCAGCGTGAACATTGTATCAGGCGGATAATTGCGTCGGGGGGTAGAGAGAATGGCACGTCGTTTCCTATGGATGGGGCGGGCGATGATGAAGATGCAGGGGTCGTAGGGACCGAGTCCGACGCAGTCGAGTGGCGGTGGTTGGCCTGTGGAGAGTGCGGAGATGGTGCATCCATGAGGAACAACGGGCGATCGGGCAACAACGCGGGTTAACTGTACAAAAAGTATCGAATACTTATGACTGTCGGGGAATTAATTCACTGGAAAGGCCGTGGTTTCGCTCAACAGTCAAAAACCATCCCATAGTAACCAAGGCTGCAGAATAAAGGGGGAAGTGGAGAGAGATGAATTGATTACTGGATTTACTTGGCGATGGGAAAGACGGGGAGTTGGACCACCCGAAGTCCGGCTCTCGGCTTCGTTGTGTATCAGCCATCGTATGTACACTTTTCACCACAAGAGGAACCACGCTCCATGAGATTTTCCTGCTTCGTCTTTTCTTCCGTCTCTTTTTTTTCCTCCACATGAACCTGCTTGGCTCAGTGGCCCAAGTAGGACTTAACAAAGACATCGTAGAATAGAGCAGAACGTGACACGTTGAGATCCTTTCATTGCTCGTAACCAAAGCTGCCCCAGAACCGTCCTAGAGGACCGAAAAACAATGGGGCAGAGAGAGATATAGAGGTAGAGAGAGAGAAAAGCTAGGTGAAATGACGAAAAAAAAATACGTCGTGAAAGTCGTCCAGAAACCCTCCAAACAAAAACCGTAAGTCGTTTCACAGGGTTACAGGGTATAAGGCTCAAAGAAATAAGAAAGGAGAAAAGACACAAATTGCAAATAATCGAGGATGACAAGGCAATCAGTTCGATCCTTGAGATGAAGTTGCCTCGGAGTCGGAATCAGACTCGTCTTCTAATACAATCCGTCGCATGACACTCTTGTCGAACAGATCAAGGGCAAAGCGACGGGCGGGGAGTCGGTAGTGATGGCTTTCGAGGATACTGAGGGTTTTGCGGAAAAGATGTGGCTGGTGGAATCGTTCAGGTTGCTTCGATTTGAGACTAGAGGTTGAACTCCAAGGTCAGAGTCTACACGACTAGAAAGAGGGCCAAGAAGCTTGCTTACCTGTGAAGATCTGCTGCCGCTCGCTTGGAGAGGACGGTATTTCCCATGTCAACAATGAGCTTCAGGATCTTTTGGTTGGCCGGATCGGAATCCAGAGTAGCCTCCTTAAAATTCTCTTGAGACGTGCGTTTCGATTCGGGGTTCCGAGAATGAGAAGGAAATTCAACCTGGGGACAATAATTAGAACCATATGAAACCATATTAAGGAAGCAAGGAACATACCAGGAAGAGCTTATTGAAATCAGTCGGAAGACTCAATCCCAAGGAGTTCCCTTTCTGGTCAACAGCAGAATCCCAGCCAAAATCCCACAGTGCCCTAAGACCATGACGACTACGTGAGATCAACCCCAACACAAAGAAGGCGGTTCCTCTCATGGTCAAAACCTCCGCGCTTTCGGCAATCTTCACGATCTTTTCAACAATATCTGACTCGAGAAATGGTGCCCCCAGTTCCATAGAGCCGACGTTGCCGACGGCCCACAAGCACCCCTTGACTTTGAGGAGGACTTCGGTGTCTTCGTCGTTGAGTTGGAAATCACGGATTGTCCAAGCGAACTCATTGAAATGGCCTGACTGCTCAAGGAGCTTGCAGCCCTCCGCAGTCCGGGCCAGTTCTCTATAGAAATGAGGTGGAACCAGTCCGAAGTCCTGCAGATCCACCAGATCGTCGGGCACAAGGCTACCTCTGCGCGGTTGATCGACGTAGGCTCTGGTTAGAGCGGCTTCGACAAGCCCCACATAGGTATCGTTGCGTCCCAGGAACCAGTCGTCCATTTCCTGCGTAATGTAATCCAGGCCATCCAAGTAGTGGTAACCTACCGAAGTTGACAAAAACCGCAGAAGGAGAGGTGCACCGATTTCTCCCAGGTGATCAAGAGATGGTCGGCACTTCACAACGTATTCAAGATAATCTCGGTGATTGCATGCCTCTTCCAGAATCTTCACGGCCATCTGGCATACAGAGACATCGGGGTCATAGAGCTGCGTCACGAGAAGCTTCACCACCCAATCGGCATTGTTGATAGCCAACTGTGGGGTAAGCGAGATATTCCCAACGGCGTACTTGCGAAGAAGTTTTGTGGCGAATATTCGAATCTCCTTGGAGCCGGTGGTGAGAGCCTTAGATAGAATAACCCGAAGATGGCTGTTTTTGGTGTAATCCATGTTCCCCAGAAGCGTTTGTATCAAATCATCCCGATCTCGAAGCTCAATGATGTGATAAAACATGTTGAGCATGTGCCATCGCTCCATCATAATGAGGCCGTTCGCATCTCCACTCAAGGTCCCCAGCATGGCAAAGTAGCCGCCGCTTAATTTATTGCGCATCTCATCTCGTGAAAACAAAGGCGATGCTGAAGTAAGCCCGCTCATGCGGTCCACCTGGGCAAGACACTCCGCCACTTGTCTCAAAAATTTATTCTCGGCCAGATATCTTATGCCCTCGGGGACTTGGACCAGGGTGCGCATCAACGCACATCCCGTCCGAACATAACGCTGATTTGGTTTGGTGTTCGAGATTCTGGCGAACCTGTACTTAAAAGGGCGATAGAAGCCCATGAGTCGCTTCATGAACTTTGACCCCTTGATGGCCTCGTCTAGCCTCTTGGGGTTCGTCAGGGGACCTTCGACTATCCGGTGAATCAAATCCCACTTCCACTTGATGTAGTTCACCGTATTCAAGACATTTGTTTCCAGGATTGCATTTCGAAACTGCGTTTCATCCATCGCAGGGCTCAGTTTGTCTTTGCCTTGATCGCCCGTTAAGAGCGAAGCAGATATATCAACATCGACGTTGTATCGGCCTGCTCCGTTCGGAACGTTTCCTATGGAGCGAGCTAGCGTCCGGTTGATGCTCTCTATCTGATAGATGGTGGAAGTGGAGATGTCATGGTTCTCGACGTCAAACTTGATAGCGGCAGGTAATAGATGTGGAAGAACTTGGAGCTTCGCACTGATGTTCTGGGGCAGGGAGTGGTGAGCCAGCTTCAAAACTTCGGTCAACAGTAGGGTTGCTTTGCGCCTAAGAGAAAGGTCCTCTTCATCCTCAATAAGATCAGAGAGCGCCTTATTATTTCGTCAGCAATGTTCAAAGAAGCGAGGGAGAGATACGAACCTGGGATAGTCCGGCATCCACCAGTGTCGCAAGGATCAAAGTCGAAAAATGCGCTGTTAGATCGAATTGATCGCCACGGTCGTCATAGTATCCGCGAGTCAGTTTCGTGTCGGAATCGGACCTCAGGTTTGCGACTCGCCCATAAGTCGTAAGCCTTCGACCAGCGAGGAACGATGATGACCATGATGGCGGCTTTATCCGCAGGGCATCGAACAAAAGCTCCATGATCAGGTCTCTTGCTTGGGGATCTGGATAATGTAAAGAGTTCAAAAGCGACTGGAGTGGTTTGGCACCGTTTCTTGCGAGGACCACCAAGCCAGGCCAAGTTTTAAGCATGGCAGAGATGGCTTTCGCGGAGGATTTTAGACGCCCGTTGCGGACAGTGTCGGATAAAGAATCGGTAAAGGGCGCAAGAACGGCCTCAAGCTCACATCCTCCTCGCAGGTGTTTTCTGCTGTGCGGGGTGTCGAGCACGTGTAGGAAACTTCCTATCAGACTCTCTGATGCACCGAATGTGCCCTCTGCTAGGGCATCATGTAAGATGGCAAAGCCCCCAGCATGGGAGACCAACTCTGGTTCTTTTACTAGGATCTCTGCGAGGGTCATGATTGAAATGTTTCGCAGTCGATCCTCGTGATGTTCAGCAACAGCAACAATCGTGCGCACCACGGCACGCGAGATCTCATGCACTCCGTCCTTGACGTCCAAAAAGCCCCGGACAAATTTAAGAGCCTGTTCCCGCTCGATGCTTGCTTTACTTTCCTTGACCAGAGAAAGTATGACCAGCTCGTCGGTATGAAGGGAGCGAATGATCTGGAGGGAATTTCGATCCGCTATCGCATAGCGCGTGAGCCGGTATCCAGCCGCTACAACCTCTTTGTTGTCACTAAGAAGCATTATCTGGACACGCAATCCGAAATCCGGCCATGCCAGGTCATATTTCAAAGTAGGATGTCGTTTGAACAGTTCCACCAGACTATTAGCCCGTTCGACGTAATAGTCGGGCGACATACCCTCGATCTCCAGCGCCTGTAGAGTTTCCGCAAGGACGTAAGTCGGGGATTCCATTTCCGCCTCTCCGTATTCCACCTGGTCATCATCCACGTCCATATTGGTGCGAGTAGGCGATCGTATTGAGCTGCCCTGAAACAGGCTGGAAAGACGACTCCGCGGGGGGGTAGAGGGTTCCTGTGCGCGTAAAATCTCCTCTTCGAGTTCAACGTGCAGGTCGACAAGTTTGCGATTTGACATGCTCAACTCCGACTCGACTTTTGATCGCTGGTCTTTCGTGTGTTTCGGGTTCTTAGCCAGCAGAGCCTCGAGCATGTTTTCCGTTCCCGTCTTGATCTTCACTTCCTTCGCAATCTTATTCCGGATCGCAGCCTGACGGTCTTCCGTGCTAGATAGGTCTTTGTAATCGACATTACTGCTCCCTCTTCGTCTGAATGTGTCATCGGGTCGCGGAGTCGTGCTGCGGGAAGTCTTCATGCTTCTGAGTTCAGAACTAAAGCTGCCCGGTCCCCCTGATCCCGATGAAAGGGCCAACGAGCCTCCCCGAGGCCCGATTGTCCCGCTGCCTCCAGACTCCGAGCGAGCATTTCTCACGGACCGGGGAGGGCCCCCAGGCCAGCTACCATCCCCGGAGCCATCATCCTGGCTGGAAAAGGACCGGCCATCACCCCCGTGACGGTGCTGGACCGACGTCGCCGAGAACCCTGAGTTATTTCCGGACGCCATAGGTCTCCATTTAGCTTCAATCGAGTGTATATCACCTGTCGCGGGGGCAGTAGGTTCGGGAGGACCGCATTGAGTGAAGAGAAGGGCGCCGTCGAGAATCACTGAGGAAGCCCCGGTGGTCTTGAGGATGATCGATCGAGCGCGTTTCGTTCGATCGGGCAAGGCGACGGGCACGATTCGAAGGGACGTGAACGAGGAGTTCGGCCGCAGTCACGGAGGTCTGGTTTTCCGGAGGGGGAGAGGGGAGAGAGGAGAGGAGAGTGGGGAGTGGGGAGTGGGCTGGCTAGCGAGAGGGCGTCGGGCGACCGAGAAGATCCAGGACTTCAGAGAACGAGGTCACCTGTAACGACAGAGGGCAGCCGGCGAGCTCACGGCAACAACAATGAAGGGCGAGCTTATCCATCCCACGGCGGGTGGTTTCAGGCTGTCTGCAATGCATGGCTGACTAACCACGGCCTAAGGCTGCACCTGCGCCTCATGGACCCATGTGGAGATTGAGCATCTCTTCCTTCGTCTCGTCGGTCCAAGAACTACGGAGTATACACACTCTCCACTGCATTCATCGATGCCCAGTCGGTTCTGTGTCCCCGGAGTCGCTTCATCCCAGTTCAGGGTGACGAAAGTATCTCGTACAGGCTACAGATATCCGATTTCAAGATCATCTGTACCCAGATCGATCGCAAATACCACTAGCCACCAACCATGTCGGAAGGTTCAGAAGTCTTTACAATAAGACCATGGCCTACAAAAGCAAACATGGATGATCATACAGTACCAGAATACGCGATTTCTTCTACTGTCAGTGACAGATGAAAAACCGAGGATGAACGCTTGATACTGCCAGCAAACTAGAAGAATGCGAACTGAGATTAGAATAACCACCAAGATTCCTGATGACGTTGGCCTGTGTAACATTCTTGGCAACGTCGTCCTCGAGATTTCAACATCGGGTCTACAATACATCTTGAAGGCACGCCACGAGACTTCCGTTTACCAGCCTTGCATGACGCCATATGGTATTCTTCTCCGATGAAGCATGGCATAACTAACAGGTTGCTGCTTAGAAACTAGGATCATTTAGAATGCGTGTGGCAAAGAAAAGGACAGTTGCTGTCGACAGCGTTGGTCAATCTCATATCGGTTATACCGACGTGGTCGATGAGAGACATGGCTAGATCTCCAACATCTCCACGATGCACGGTTCATACGCAGCAGCTATGTAGGGTCTCCACAGATTTTTTATTTATTTATTTTTTGTTGGCCGTCATACAATTTTAAACAATTCTCACGGAGACGTTAGTCGTCATGCTACCGTTCTGGATACCAGGGAGTCTCGGAGATCGTGCCATTGCAATCTCCAGAAGGATCAACTGTTACGAGCGAATCACATCACTGTTCAATCCCGAGTAGGCAAGGAAAAGGTTTCCATTCGATCGGGCCCAAAACAGCCGGATTGGAGCTGATGGGGTTTTGGATGGAAGAAACATTGAACTAACCCCAAGAGAGTGCACGATTCCTCATCGAGGCCAATCCGGGGCAGCCAGAAAATTGCGACCGAACAGACAAATTGGCAGGAAGGGAGTGGACCGAACCACGTTGATGAGGGATTATTTAGTCCCACGATGCAAGCCCCTCAGGAGATGTGCATGGCGATGGTACCCGACAGAGAGGAGGCCGACACTTTCGGGGCGGAAGAACGATGATACGCTCTACTCCACGGCCATGCTGCCTTTCCAACAACCGTATTTACCTCTCTGTTATCCAAACTCTTGTACCTTGATGAAACTCCACGGGTCTGGCCATCTGACTGAGCGTTGAAATTGGAACAGCCCAATGGAGACGTTACCAGCGCTCATCCTCAGAGTCACTGTCGTTTCTCATTCCACCTAGGCCATCCTTACAAACATCCATTACCTCGGCATGTCGGTGACCATTCGTTCCGAGATCGTGGATCTTGATGGGTTGATCCCTAGAGCAGTGGGGAAAGAATATGAAGGTATGAAATTCTGCGCCTCATCCGCGTAATTCCAGTGCATCTTTATAGTCCACGTCGCTAACCGCTGATAGACATGGATGTGGCGGGGTTGATCCCTTGGGTATTTCGGAACAGCGATGTCGCGACAAAGGAGTGCACTGGAAAGTGGCCGCAAGACGAACTGAGCTTCAGAGCGTTCTTCTACGATCTTGGCTCCTACTTCAATGGGCTGCAGGGCCCTAACGTTGGGATCATGGATTTCCTAACGGCTCTGTCGACAATTAACCTGCCCAAGACGAGCTGGGAGGTTCCGGGGCGAGAGTCTCACAAGACCTTCATACGATCACAGGGCTTGATATTGAAGGCACTGGTGAGGACCATTTACTTTAACCTTGAATATGTCGGCGAACCCATTCCTCGAGTCAAGTAAGTCATGGCCCTTAAATCTCAAAACGCCGGGATTCTTATTCATCTACCCAAGGTTTGATTCCGAGGTGATGCAGAAGTATGTTATGGGTGGTAAACGATTCGCGTCCAAATCAGAGGGCGCTGCCACCGTGAAGCTCCAAGAAGGCCACGTGCCTATCCTTTCTTTCACCGGTGTAAGTCAGCCTCATACCACCCATCTACCCATCCTTGCAGTCTTGTCTCGGTTTCTGACCTAGATTCCATGTGAAGTGGTATGAGGGACAGACCTGGGACCAGTTTCTGGCGGAAACCCTAAGCATAATGCTCGGGCAGCTGGCCAAAAACATCACCCTGCATAGCGGCCATGCTGGGCCTCAGGACCAGGAAGTCTTTGTCGTCGGGTTTCACGGACGCTATGTTCATATCGCCCATGGGCTTTTCCTAGCCGATACCATCATGCGAGTACATTCAGAAGGATGCACCGCGGATGAAGTATTCGCTTTGAAATTTTCTCGAGGCTACGATTTATGCCTGAAGGAGGACTGGCTGGAAGCCATGCGTGCTCTAGCCCGGCTGTTTAGGTACCTCTTTAGCGGCAATGCGAAAGTTGGTGCTATACAAGCCTACCTGGAAACGAGAAGGGCCGCTGCTGCTGCGAAAATGGGGCTCGAGATATAGACATGCCGGCGCTCTTCGCTTTTCTCTTCTTTTCTTTTTATATATTTATCTACATCTGCTAGGAGTTAGAGGTCGCTTTATAGGATACACATAGACATTGGTTACGGCCATGTTTCTCGCTAGAAATGAACTTGAGACAGGTAGCTCGGTGGTTTTCTGATAAGTATTTGTTTCTGTACGGTGTTCGATTCATGGAGCATTTAAAAGTACGTAAATCGCTTACACTAACTCTGGTCAATCTTTGGGCTTCATTGCTAGGAGATCCCTGCCAGGCATTTCATACTAGAACACACCAGTCCATTTTTATATCCATATCAATACCACTGGCACCTTCCCTGTAGTATCAAGCCATTCATCGCAGACCTGAAACTCGGGCTCAGTAATCAGATAACCCGTTTCTTGGGGAAATAATTATCTCCGAGACAAGACTAGGCCTGACCAGGGTATCTAGCACCAGTGTGAAGGAGGCTTGCATTAGCCCACCGCCCCGTTGTTTGCCAATGTTTGCTACGTGCTTACTGTGTGGCGTCTACTCGTAACTGGAATCAATCCTTGATCATAATGGTATTATATTCCCCGCTGCAAGTGCTTCTATCCCGAAAGAACACGAAGAATCGAAAGAGGCTGCAGGAATGAGGTGTACTCCTGCTGCACAAAACCCGAAAAGCCCGCTGGCCGAGTCGACTTAATAACGCCTTTTCCGATCTGAACGGAGAGGAGCTAAATCTCAAATGCATTCATTAGTGACCACAGCGCCTCGCTAATCTTTAAATGCCTGCTTTTGTTTTAAACCCCGCCTTTATGTGTTTCTTTTATCCGAGAGAAAGAGAAAGAAAAACGTGCATCATATCATCCGGTCGTGAATCGTCCCCGGTTCAGGGACTCAGGGTTGTCCGGTACTAGTCTTCTCGAGGATGGTCTTCATCATCTCGTTTCCGAGCTTGCTGGCCTCGGGGAAACGAGGAGCGAAGTATTTCTGGATCCGCTCGAATCGATCGCGGTAGGATTCGAAGTCACCGAATGAAACGCAGTCGGACCAAGCCTATTAATAAAGTGCGTCAGTATTCCGTGGGATGGGAGTAGCTATCACACTCGAGAGTATGTAGCGGTGGCTTCACAGCCGCTGTCTCACTTACCCTGGCCGCAAAGGTGAATTCCAGATCATCCGAACGGAATGTCTTGTCGTCGATGGCAGTATCAATTGCCGCGTCAAGAAGTTCTGGGTTGCGGAAGAGATATTCTGTCACACCCAGCCACAGACGGAAAAGCTAAAATGGAGAGACCGTAAGCTTCATGCTGTGGCTGCAGATACGCGGAAGTCAAGTCAAAACCACTTACGGGGGTGGAACAGATCATGTGGTCGTATGGGACGATTCCCAACTTGGACCAACAATCAACAATCGCCAACAGACTCAGATGATTGTTCGGCGGCGTCTCTTCACGGGGCCCCTTCGAGAGAGAGAACCGATCCAGAACTTCATCTTTCAGCAAAAGATCTTGACCTTCTGTGTCTGCTTTGAAAACAGCTGCGCCCGCTTCTCTGACCCGGCGCTTGAGTTCGTCTCGGCGGCCCTCGATCATGAGCTTGTAGAGGTCGGTCACCGACTCCGCATACTGGCGGATCTGTGTCTTTGCCGCCGGGTTAAGAATGGCTAGGCCGGCATAGACGTGCCATTTATTTGCGTAGATGCGCAGGGTGATGTTGATCTTGACGTTCTCGATTCCTCCCACCCAACGGGAGATCTCCCAGGGGAACTGCTTGTTTGCTTGCCATGCAGTCCCCATGCTAAGGAACGCAGCGTGTGTAACGGCCTGGGTGTCTGCAGTAATGCGGTCGTGCATCTCACCAGTAAGGTAGACATATTCGGATCCGAAACACGACAGGACGGTTTCCACGAACCGGAGACTCTCATCCGACGCACGATGCTGGATGAGGACCTAAGGGAAAAGCAATTCTGTTATTATGCGGGCCAACGCCACTGTCACTCGGCATACGGCGGCATACCAGGGGTTGACCCTTGGGGTTGACCTTGGGTCCATGTAGCGAATGGCACGATACAATTTCTACATCCGAGGGAAGATGCTTGTCGAACGCGGACAGCTCGGGAGCTTTGCAGGACGTTTGGCCGCCCACAATGGCGCCGACCTTGGTAGCTTTAAAATTTTTCCACAAGTCAGACACCGTTTCAAGGGAAGGCTTGATAGCCTTGGCTTTGACGAAGACATACATGGGCCATATTCTGCCACTACCTTGTCAATAACACCAGCCTCTACACTGTATATAATGAAATCGCTAATCCGTGAAACCAGGTGCCCATTCGGGTAGATGGTAACACCTTGCTATGTACGATAAGTTGAGGAACAGCATCAGCTGTGACCGTAGAAACGTACTCGAGAATCAAATTCTTTTTTCAAATCTTCATAGCTATCGAGCTTGTCACAAGCATTAATCCTTCATGGGCAATCATAAGTTAGTAAAACGCTAGCATCGGCGGAAACCGAACGTAAAAATTAAGAAATACGAGGTAAGAAGCCTATGAGTCATTGCAAAGTCAGTCGATGATCAAGCAATAGCCAGTGGAAGATTCACAAGGAAGAATCATTTGGTAGTTCAGACAAAGAAAAGTAAGGTAGCGAGATATTTACATCATTGACGACCTGGGTGTCACTAAAGCACCAGAATGGTACAAAAGCTATCCCCAAGTCATGCTCGAGCCAAATGCACTCAAGTCATCATCCAAATGATAGGGGCGGTGTAGAAGAAAGGGGGGGGGGGAGGGTGAATCATACCTGTTATGAGATGGCGAGGATTGGCGTCGCAAACAAAAGTCGTCGAGAAACTTAAGAAAATGACTGAAATATTACCTCCACCCAGCTTGGCTGAGCAACTGGGCATACATTTTGCCCATGTCACCCATGCCAATAATGCCAATCATGGCATTTTCTTTGGTGAACCCCATCTTAGACAGGGGGAGCTTTGCGACAGCTGAGAGAGAACTGTACACTATTCAAGAATAAGATCTGAATGAAGTGGCAGTAAGGCGAAACCAAAGACAGATAACCTATGCAGGACACTGAAGTTGACTCTCCTTCACTCTCGAAATAAACACGAAGACCAAGCAAAAGGAAAAACCGCGGGAAAATTTAAATAGCCGTTGAGAAAGTACGGCTCACCGCCAATCGGACCGACGCCCCCCGAGAGACTCCACCGACCGCTGTCAAGTCACGTTCTCCCATTCTACTGGCCTCAGGCCACACTTCGCTTGGGCCCGCCCGCCCGGGGGCTGGACCAATCAGGGCCGCGAGAACTGCCGGTAGGGCACACACCATCATTTTCTGTATCTTCTCTTTTGCACGCCGTTGATCTTCTTCCTCCTTCCCATATTCCATTCCACCACAGCACATCAAAATGCCTCCCAAGAAAGCCCCCGCTGCCGCCAAGGAGAACGTCACTCTCGGCCCTCTGGCCGGTGATGGTAAGAATCGCAAAATTCGGAAATTTGGGCGTCGGCGCATTTTCTAACATGAGTTGAATTATAGGCAAGCTCGTCTTCGGCGTTGCCCGTATCTTCGCCTCTTTCAACGATACCTTCGTCCACGTTACCGATCTCAGGTTCGTCACACCTTTGCGCGACGGCTACGACGGCTTCGACATTCCAGTTCACATGGATTTGATTGCCTGAGAAAATTCGATGTGGATTGGAGAGCGGAGCCCGAGAGCCCACTAGCGACGATAACATGATCGCTAATGAATTGATAACAGTGGTCGCGAAACCATCTGCCGTGTCACCGGTGGTATGAAGGTCAAGGCTGACCGTGACGAGTCCTCTCCCTACGCTGCCATGTTGGCCGCTCAGGACGTTGCTGCCCGCTGCAAGGAGCTCGGCATCAACGCTCTGCACATCAAGATCCGTGCCACTGGTGGTATGTAACTCTGAATCGAGGCTGGCTGTGTGAGATTCCCAGGCTAATCCAATCCTCCAACAGGTAACGGCACCAAGACCCCCGGTCCCGGTGCTCAGTCCGCTCTCCGTGCTCTCGCCCGTTCCGGCATGAGAATCGGCAGAATCGAGGACGTTACCCCCACTCCCTCCGACTCTACTCGTCGCAAGGGTGGTCGCCGTGGTCGTCGTTTGTAGATATGTGCGGGTATGTCTTTCTCTCTTCCGCGCTGTACGAGCTTTCTGCAGCGCTGGATAGGAGGCTACCAGCAGGGCTTTTGGCCTGTGAAAGTGGATGGAATAAACGCGAAGAACGGCGCTCTAGCCTGGTCTTCAATTTTTTCATGTCCAAAATGGTTGTTTTCGGCTTTGGGGTTCAGTAGTTTGTGGCTTTCGTGACAACTGCTCAGGTCAATATAACTCGAACTGGAACAGTACATTCTCCTGACCATCAATCTCTTCGTAAAAACTCGTATATGATCAGAGTCTTAGATTATCTGTAGCAAGGGTGTAGATTCAAGATCCGAGGGGTCTTGTCTGTCGCTGGGATGTTGGCTCCGAGATTTTTTATCGGGAACTAAGATAAGATCAACTGCGGGAGCTTTTCAACTCCGATCCACGCCGCAGTTTGTTCCATCTACTCCGTACACATCCTGAAGATTTTTTGCGGCGGTGCGCCTTTGCCTGTTTTCGACGCAGACCGATTCCCAGATCACCAATACTCTTACATCTCCATTCGTCCCATCCCATCAATTATCCCATATTATCGCGCCATCCGAGGAATAGCAGCCTGGGTTGACGTCAGGGCCAAAACCGCATCCGATTCCCTGCGATCTCGACATGCGACACAGCGACTGATTGATCTGACCCCGAATCCATCCCACACGAATCCCACTCTTAATTCCAACGACTACCATACAGCCCATTCCTCGCCGACCATGCAAGCCTCTCTTTCGCCAACCCCCATCATCCTGGTACCCCACCTCCCACCGAAGACCCTCGTCGGCATCGATCTCATCACCTTCACCTCGACGCCCAATTTCCACGGAATCCGCGACTTACCTCCCGGATGGCACTTCCTATACACAGGCACAACAGAGAGTCTATCTCTCCGGAGCGGTGCGTGGTTCTACGTCGGCGACATCGCCGCCGCCGGCGCGCCCATCGACAAGAACGCGCTCACCACACGACGCAGAGACACGGGGCCAGAAATCCACATCTGGCGATGGTGCACGGACAACGAGACCCTCATCCCCTTGCTGGGCAGCAGCGACATAGATAAGCAGGAGGCAATGCGATACAAAGCGAACTTGGCTGCTGTCTGGCAGAGCGGGGGCCTGTTTGGCTACCGCAGTCGGGTCCCGCCGTCTTCGATGTCTCGGGGCATGTCGGGTGATAAAACGTCGGTGCCGGCTGAGGTGGATGAGGAGAATGAGGAGGAAGGGAGGAGGGACTGGCAAGGTTTGACGGATAGACTTTCGCCGGGGCTTCTATCGCGCATCATCGGGGAGAGTGAGGTTGATGTGGATGATCGGCCGCGTTGGACGGTTACTTCTGCTAGCACGGCGCGACGAGACGATGATGATATCCCTGGGATTGAGAAGTTGGGAGAGGGATCTGGGAAACCAGAAGGCGCGGTTGGGGAGCAGGAGAGCGAGCTGTCGTTCTTACCTATTGACCTCAAGAGGACGTGGAGAGAAGGGGCCATTGGACGCGAGCGAACCGAAGCTGCGCAGGATCGGTCGTGGGCTCTGGGTGATCTCATCCATCAGGCGTCCGGGACTACCAAGGACAATGCGGGGGCTGATGAAACAGTCGGCGAGACGCAGGTGCTGGGCGAGCTGCAATTCACCTTTTTGATGATCATGACCTTGATGAACTACTCGTGTCTTCAGCAGTGGAAAAGACTGCTGGGGCTGATCCTGACCTGCCGAAGTGCGATCAAGGATCGGGAGCTTTTCATGCGCGATGTACTCCGACTACTTCTACTGCAGCTGAAGAGATGCGACGATGTTGAGGGCGGGCTATTTGATCTTGACGGGGAAGAAGGGGGAGACTTCTTGCGGAAGCTACTGATCAAATTCAGAAAGTCGCTTTATGACGTGGTGGATGGAGCTGCGTCGCAAGTGAAGGATGAATTTGAGCGACTGGAGCAATGGGTCAAGGAGGAATACGACTGGGAGCTAGACCGTGGGGTGGTTGTCAGATACGGCATACTCCAGTTGGAGGATGGCGAAGAGGTTGAAATGGACACAAACGAGGGCGACGAGGACCAAGAAATGGGGGAATATGCACCGGTCATTGTAGACCTTGGAGATGGTAACACGGAGACTGACAAGTATTGAAGCCATGCATATGCGGTGTGATTTGAATCTACCGGTCAATGCCTGAGTCTGTTAGGGCCATAGAGGCTCAGGCGGGGCTTTAGTTCATGCAATCTTGTTTGATTGTCTCACAATGAATTCTTAGGTCGTTCAGATGAGTCCGAATCAAACCGCAGTGTTGATTGCCTCTAGGGTTCCGTTGCCCACCTGACTCTGGTTCTTGTTTCTCTTTTCTTGACATCCAACCGCTTAATTTCAAGTTTTCGAAAACTGACCATTCTAATAAAAGAAATGAAATCTCTATTGTCATTGACTGCTATCATAAAACCGTCTCCCTATCTAACTATATACAATGCAGGTATTTCATCAGCGTTTCGATCCGTCATTTTTTGGGGTTAGGCATTTATTTCTGAGCTTCTCCCTCAATGACATAGGCCCATTCGTGGTTCTCCTGGCCATCCTTGCCGAACATGATCGACTCCAGCCAGGACTTGATCTGGGCGGCATATCCGGCACGGTTGGCACCAGCCTCCAGCATGTTCATCTGAACGTCGCCATTGCCGATGAGCTTGACGGGGGTAACGAAATACTAAGAGGTCGGGTTAGTACTGCCGTCTGAATGATCACCATAGATATCACTTACAGCCGTGCCGCAGACGAAGGTCTCGACGATACGTCCCTCCTTCCAGGCCTGTTCCACGTCACCGATCGTGAACGTCTTCTCGACAACGTCAACCGGGGCGAGAGATCCGTGGGGCTTGGTGAAATGCGTGCGCGCCAGCTGGAGAACACTGCGACGGGTGACACCGGGGAGAATGAGCTGGTTCTCCAGGGGAGCGGTAACGAGCTCCAACTTGCCGGTGTCCTTGTTCTCCCAGACGATGAAGAAGTTGCTGGCGCCGGCCTCGGTCACTTGACGGTCCTCGCCGAACAGCCACAGGACCTGGTCAAAGCCCAGGGCCTGCGCCTTGCCGTGTGCAGAAAGCGAGGGCCCATAGTTGGCACCCAGCTTCGCGTAACCGAAACCGCCGGGCCAAGCACGGATGGTGTCAGGTTGCGACGCAAGGAGCTTGAGTCCCGGCTGGACGCCGGGCTCGAGCTTCTTCTTGGCGGGGTCGGGCCAGGGCACGGCGATGATGAAAAGAAGGGCCTCCTTGGGGGTCTGAACGCCCAGGTGCGGGCCGCTGCCAATCATTGCGGGACGAAGGTACAGGAAGTTGCCGGGTTGGTCCTTGGGGAGCCAGCCTATAGACCATGCCATATCAGTCAACTGCACACTTCACCACGAGCGAGGGGATCCGGGGAGAGTGGAAACATACGGGGCCCGTCGATCTGTAGCAACTTGGCGATCAGGCGCTTCAGCTCGTCGAACTTGAAGCTGGGCAGGGAGGATCTCTGAGCACTGTTGACCAACCGCTCGCCATTGAGGTCGGGGCGGAACAGACGCAGCTTGCCATCGTATCCGCGGTAGACCTTCATGCCCTCGAAACACTCGGTGGCATAGTGCAGACAGGAGGCTGTGGGCGGGATGCTCAGGTTCTCATACGGCTTGATCTCCGGGGTCTCCCAGCCATTGACATCGGTCCATCGGACAGTGGCCATATGATCCGTGCAGTGAGAGTGGCTCAACTCCTCCGGCGAGCCCGGAGCAGGCACGGGTCGAAGGTTAGTCGTGCGGGTGACATTGACCACCGAGGCATCCAGCTCGGCCAAACGTGCGACGGAACCCATTGTGAACGTTGTTATCGAGAACGGTGCCGATCTTTGGGAGGGTGGGGAGGGTTTGTGTTTATATAGTAGTCAGGAACGAGACAGTGCGGGTGAGTCACGGCGGGGAATGCGACCAGGGACAGTGGTGACAGCGGTGACAGGAACCTCCAGCAGAGAAGGAAGAAGGGAAAAGTCCAGCGCAGTCGGCTTTATGACTACTCCTACGGACTACGGGGCATTATTGAGGCGGGGGGGCAAAGAAAAGTTTTCTCGGGACCGAGTGATTGCCAGTCTGGCACGTTTTCGCCTTCGATATCCGAGCCACCAGACCCAGACCAGCCGTGACCCACGAACAATGGCAGGCCCTTTCACTGATTTCCGACTCCATTGACAACACACGCCCTGCGACGCCCTTCGAGTGACATTTTTTTCTGCCGTGTTCTGCAGGATGCGATATCGATTGGCCTCACCGCCTGCCGGACTCCTCCTATCAGTGGGCCGCCCGATGCTAACCGCCCGGCAGTGGGTGCTGACCTCGGCTACTCGCGGCCTTCGCAGGGCCCCCGAGATCGGAGGCCGGCCGTCATGTCATTCGAAGTGCATGTATGAGGAATGATCGATGACATCTCCGGGTCATCAAGACATAGCAAGCCCTAGTCTCGGGTACATGCAGGATCGGTTCTTCAGCGTTTGTCCCTGGTGGTGACACGGACCCTGGAAATATAAAATATAATATAGTTGGCCTCGGGAGTATAAGAATGATGAGGCTCTTGATCTCAGACCATCGAGATTTTGTAGATTGAAAAAAGTAGTGTATTCTTGAGATTGCCCCTCTTCTTGTATTTATTTTGTTTTTCTTCGTCTCCCCTTCCATTCTCGCCTCCCATATCGCATCATCTGGCAATTACCTGGCGGGTTAGCCCTAACCGGACAAACAGGAATGCTCGATCCAACCCCCGTGATGAGGTGCAATGCTAAGACAGGATGCTGCACGCAAGTGAAAAGAGATCAAGGACAGGCTAGCCCATCCCGATGCAAGGGAACCCCGGGGTAGTAACAATAACGTTCAGGGTTCAGGGTCGATCGGGGGTATATAGTATATATCGACGGCACGAGGGGCTGAGGAAATCCCTTCCCCTTTGACCGCCTGGGACGAGGCATCCCCGAACCGTCCAATCACAGTGGATGGAAGAACCCACATTGGACGAGGGAAAAGACAAGACTCCGTGATGTAATGCATCATGTGATCCCACCATTCGAGTAAACGGTCCTGCTTCCAAGGACAGCGAAATGATCGACAACCTCCCTAATTGCCGCAGAAGATGCTCGCGCTAAAGACGACGAACCAGGAATGCTGCACATGGGACCGCCATCTGATTGGCTGCTGCAACCTCGGATTCATCATCGACCTTGCCACCCAGTTGGAGACCCATGATGCGCAAATCCTGTCATCGTGCGACCATGTTCATTGCCATCGTCGCATGCTCTATGACGAAACGTACATCGCACGGGGGAGAGGGAGAGACTCGATGTGTCGATCTAATGCCAATCAGTCCAAGGACGGTCCTTGCGGATTCGCCCGACACTCTAATCCGAACGGGTGCCTTAGTTCGGAAACCCTACGCGATACGGGGGGGGGGGGGGGGGGGGGGGGGGCTACGAAGCCAGTCCCGAATGGAGATGGCACTGCTTCAGAGATAGATCAACATGGATACCATGGATGTCTACCAGCGGTTCGGCTTGGTTGATACAATCCTAGGGCGAGGAGACAGTGGGCCTCGATCGGAGTTAGACCCGGAAACACGGCGGTTGAACTATGATGGAGACAGCCACCCGCGATTTTGAGCTCATATGTGGCAAGCGGATCGTTGGCCGGGGGCTTTATCCGCCTATGGCATTCTCCATGGCTTGTAGACCGGCTGGCACAACCAGCTCTCTCGCCCTGTTCGCCCTGTTATGGTTTCGGTCTTGGGAAAACCCCTTCCCGCCAGCGGGCCAGCAGGCCAATCCCCCGGCACTGCTGTTTGCTGGAATTTTATGCCGAAAATTGCCATCCCCGTTGGCAGCGAAAGCCTTTGTCGCCGTGATATAGTCGGAGTACTGATCCGTCTCAAAGCAGCCGTTTTGATTCTTGGACTGGATTGTTGACATTGGCCCGCTCCACGCCATCTCCGGCAAACCCATGTAAACCGTGCTCTGGAGTACTGAAGGCACTGAAGGTAACGGCGGTGGAGGCGCAAGGGTCCTCCTGGAGGTGTGAGAGCGTGTACAGCTGATGCATGCCGGTGGCTGCTTGACTTGTGCGGAAGAGACAGGAGGGTGTCCAGATGATGGATGGAAAGACCGTAGCCCAAATCCCGTAAGTCGGGATCCGAGCCTGTCAGGTCAACAATCATGGCTGAATGCCGTGTCGCTTCTTGCCATGACCCCACCCATTAATAATCGGGTCGACCCCGGTCTTGATGCGTGTCTGCTCTCTCTAGCTTCGCCATTCATATCGCTGCTGTCATGGACGCAAGTGGTGGTTCCAGACTGCCGGTCGATGGCTGTCGATGGCTGTCGATGGCTGCGTCAATTTCCGCCGACCGTTCTTTACCTTTCTTCAAGATGCAGTGCATCCCTTATTGGATGATTTCTTCCCCCCTCTCCCCTTCCTTGCTCCTTTCCCCTCTATCCTGTTTCTTTTCTCTTTTTCCGTATTCGGTTCTTTTTCTTTTTCTTTTTCCTCCTTTCCCCCCCTTTGTGGACCAAGGGTTCCATTCTTCCCCTCTCTTTGGTATATTAATTGTTCTCTGGCAAAGGAACTTGCTGGCTGCAGCAGCATCCGCTGTCAATTTCCCCTGCTAACCCCCTCTGGGACACGAGAAGATTTTCTCTCATCAGAAACCCGTGAAGAGTCGCTGATATAGGATATGGCTGTTCATCCCTCCCAGAGAGATTGTTGACGCCCTGATAGACGGTAAAGGTTTTGCGGGCCGCAAGATCAAGGGGTACCGAGACAAGAGGCGTCCGGCAGTGTGGTGCTGCTAGCAAGCTCGATCTGCAGGCGCCGTTTCTCAGAGTCCTGCTCTGTATCGCCGCACTGGTGGTTTTTTCGTACTTGTTGGCAAATCCAGAATATAAGCAACACTCGAACCCGTCCACGATCTCACACGAAACAGACTCGACACCTCAAGATGAACCCGGAAGATCAAGACAAGCATCTCCCAACACTGGCCCCGGGTCCCCGAGGCCCCGTTTTGCACCCGGGGGCACCCGTAACAAAGTCGAAAAAAAACTCCACTGCATGCCTGCCATGCAAGCAAGCGAAGAGAAAGGTGATCTATCGCCCTGTTTTTGTCCTGTCAGAAAGTGAGGCACCGAGAATTGCCCTGGCCAGGTGGGGGATGGAGGATGGGTAAAAGAAAGACGATGCACCACGACGGGCTACAGCCATTGGAATACAATTGAGACGCAGGGTCTCTCTTGGCTTCCTTTTCCATGATCCTTTTTTTACACGTAGGCGCTAACGGTTGCTTATTTGGATCATAGTGCTCAGGACGTCCGCCACCTTGCAAAGCATGTCAGAATACCGAAGCCGAATGTGTTTTTGACGAGACCCTCGACTTAAGACGCAAAGTCGCCGCGAAACGCACCCTCGGGGAGCTGGAATATTGTCGAGGACTGCTGAACTCTTTGCTGAAGTCACTCAGATCACCGGATGAGGAGAAAGTCCAGTTTATATTGAAAACGATCCGGCAGACCCCTTCTCTGAACGACGTTGCCACTGCCGTAGATGCACCGACTGTCGACATGATCGATGCCACATCGGATAACGTTAAAGGCGGGAATAACGCAGAGGATGTCGCTCCTCATCACGGTGTTTATGCAGGTGTTTCGAGGGTAACTCTAGAGAGGCTCTGTGATAGTCCGGTGTTCCGAGTACCAGCGAAACCCTGGACAAGGGTCACCGAGGATAACGACCTCGTTTCACATTTGATCTCTTTATACTTCACATGGGACCACCCGCTGTCCCAACTCATTGACCAAAGGATGTTCATTGAGCACATGAGAAAGGGGGACACAAACTCAGCGTTCTGCAGCCCCCTGCTCGTAAATAGCGTTCTCGCAATGGGCAGCGTAAGGTGCACCCGGAAGACCCTCTTATTCGCGACATCTTCTGATTAATATAAGGCATATTCTGATTTCCCTGAACTCTTTTCCTGCCCTGGAGACCTAAGTTCAAAAGGTAAACATTTTTTTACAGAGGCAGAGAGATTATGGGAGGCCGAAGACGGCCATGCGTCATTATCCAATATCCAGGCTATCGCTATTATGAGCTGTGTGTATGTGTATTCAGACCCGAACCTGCCGTTGCATGAATACTTGTGTTAACAACTTCTAGTTTGAGTTTTCAGGCGAAGAAAACAAGTTGGTTAATGCTGAGACAAGCTGTGCAGCTTGCGCAAGATATTGGAATGTTCCAAACCCCAAGGTCGGGCCACCAGGAGTGGAAGAAAACGCACATGGAGGTGCAGTATGCCGGGGTGATAACTGCTTGGGGGATATTTGCCCTGAATTCGTATGCACCTGTTTTCAACGCGTCTCATTAATCCACTGGTTGACGTTTGAGCAGCCAGGTCTCCTTGGAATCCGGAAAGACCGCAAACCTTGCGCGCCCCAGATTCAAGCCGTTCACAAAGAACAAGCTCGACGATGAGTTAGATTGGAAACCGTATCCTCGGATGAACCAGGCAGATGATGCTGCGAAGCCAGCTTTTCTCGCCTCGGTCATGGTTCACACCACAGATCTGAGTGAGATTGTTGCGGACATCCAAGATTTGTTATATGAGAAGGCGCTCGAGTTTAGAATGGAGGATGTTTGGGTAGCGGCGAACAATTTATACACTCGGTTGGCGACGTGGTTGGAACGACTGCCAGATGTTTTGCAAGTTGACGAGGACCAAATCCCGCACATTCTGTATCTTCAGTAAGGACGAAGACCTGCCTTGTCTTGCCAACGAAACACAAACGACCTAACACCGACCGCAGTATAAAATGCTACTATACCACCATCTACCTGTTCGGGTTCTTCCTCGAGCACGAAGGTGGGAGAGTATTACAACCGGCCCAAATCGAACAGGCCAGATTGGCTCGGCTGCAGTCAGCGAACCTTATTGCGCAAAGCCTTCGCATTCATCACGAGGCCTACGGGCTTCGACATGTGCCTAGACAGATGCTTGGGCCCACCAACCAGAGTGCCCTGGTCTTGCTCATTGCTTTGGAGGATGAAGAGCTCAAAGAATCTTTCATCGAACTGTGCCGGTTCTTAGTCGCCTTCAGCAAGAGGTTCTCCCAGGCTCAAGTCATGATTCACAATATCGAAAAAAGGGCAGAGCAATTGAGAATCCCATTGCCCCCTGAGGCCATTGCAGTGCTCGATCACAAGGGATTAGAGTCTTCGCAATGGCTTTGATGGGTCCCACGATAGTACGTGCCCCCGAACTCCTTGCCTTCGGTCGGATTCGCTGATCGATCTAGGGATATGATGAGGTATTTTGCGCCCGAGCCGGGATTTCGAGTTCTGCAGGAAGAACACAGAGGGTAGGAGAGTGGACGTTCGCAGGAAATTTCGGACGCCAGCAGTTACCGATACACTAATCCTCCATGGTAGTAGAATTATGATCATAACATGACTGTATGTTGATTACCTAGACGCTCCACGGTTAAAATTTGAATCCGGACGATTGGAATAAGACTGGCGTCAATTTCCCGAGGATTTTATGCATCTCACGACCCCGTTCACGGACATTCTAGGCAGGTGAATGAAGAAATGGAGAAGGGAGAGAGGGAAGGCGAGAGAGGTTGGTCGACGGGGGATTAGCGGGACTGGAGCCCATGACGCGCAGGGCGGAGGAGGCGAAGGCTCCCAACCAACCACCGTGCTGTGGTCTGGTCTGGAAACAGTATCGCATTCCCGTCATCCATGTTCTGCCCTGCCCATTCTTTCATCCGGATTGCTGCCACGGTCTGAGGCTGACCATAGGCTGCAAATCTGAAAGAGTGGGGAGTGATGGACCGTTCAGTCCTATACTGCGTACGTGTCTACCGATTACCTACAGGCCCAATAATACGCTGCTACGGCTCAGTACGTTGAGCTCTTTACCCACAGCCTGATCCTGGTATGCTGGTTTAGGTACTTGGGTCTGTGGGTGTTGGCTGTTCCGGGGCGTATTTCCCTCCAGAGACAGGCAGGGGCGGGAAGTTATTATAACATTTTTTTTTGTAAAAAAAAAAAAAAAAAAAAAATAAGAAATACAGAGAGAGAACACTGATGTGCTGCTGACTCTTATGCAGTATTCCGCTTGAGACGATCCCCTACCAGAGACAGTAGGCACCAAGACGATGTATCTTTTACAGATACTACCTAGTGAAGGAGAAATCAGAATTTAACTCCCCATTTGATTCCTGCTACATGCTATATTCTTGACCTACAACGAACTGTGCCCCAAGAGACAGTCTCACGCAACATAGTAGTTGATATTCCAATACAGTGCAGTACACTTATGGCCTAGGTAGTACTCTGTAGTATGATGGGCGAATAGCCAAAAGCATTCAATGACCGTGGTTCTGGAGTGCTACTTGGAGAGACAAGGATGTGATTTTTCAAATGCCTAGTCTGTAGCAGCCGGAATCGATAAAGCATTTGCAGCCGAGTCTGTAGGAATTCCACTGGACTTCGATCCCAACCTGCCTTGGGATACCCTTTCGGGCCATCCAGCCTGGCCGATTACCTCAGCCTCCGAGCATAGCTGACTCATCTCCGCCTTTATGCGCAGATAAGATAAGCACAAACCGTCCAAGCGAAAACCCTCAAAATTCGATGCGGAAACAATTGAAATCCCACACCCCCGACGCCGAAGAGCCACGCCTACCGACGCGCTCTGTCCCACCCCGACCTTCCCCGTCGATCGCCTCCCGGATACATTCCTGCATCTCGGCAGACCATTTTTCTTGTCAATATGTCCTACGAAGAGCGCGCCAACGCGCACCCCAACCTGGGCGACGAGTCCGATGTGGAGGAGGAAGCGCTCGTCAACGACTACCGCGAGCAGGTCAACTTCGACGATGGCATGAGTGAGCTGGACCGGACGACGTCCCTGGGAGGTGGCTCCCAGACCCAGGATCTCCAGGCTCAGCTGGCTGCTGCTGCCACCCCGCTGGAATACCAGGCTACGCTGGAGACCAAGTTCGCAAGCTACGACAACTACTGCAGTCTGTTCCACTACATCCTCAACTCGGATGGCCCCGTGGAGTTGGAGGTTCCTTCCGTATGTCTCTGATTTATTGTGCCCAATTTCCCCGTGGATTACAGCGGTTTGCCCTGATCCTAGAATGCGCACCCAGCCGGTCCGCCGTTGATGTGTGCGGTGGGCTAGTTTGAATCATATGGTGCTAATCGGTGGTTTCTTCCTCTTTCAATAGTACTACTGGGCTTGGGATGTGATCGACGAGTTCATCTACCAGTTCGAGTCCTTCTGCCGCTACCGTAACCGCGTCGCCCGCAGCGGCTCCAACGAGGAGGAGGCCCAGCTCCTGCGTGAGAACCCGAACACTTGGGGCTGCTACTCCGTGCTCAACGTCCTTTACTCCCTCATTCAACGATCGCAGATCAACGAGCAATTGGCTGCCATGAAGCGTGGCGAGGACCCCCTGGCCTTTGCCGGTGAATACGGCTCGCGGCCCCTGTACAAAATGTTGGGATACTTCTCCATCATTGGTCTGCTGCGTGTTCACTGCTTGCTGGGAGACTTCAGCCTGGCCCTCAAGACCCTTGATGACATCGAGATGAACAAGAAGGCTATGTTCGCCCGCGTCATGGCCGCCCACTTCACCACCTACTACTATGTGGGATTCTCGTACATGATGATGCGTCGTTACGGCGACGCCATCCGCATGTTCAGCCACATCCTGGTCTACGTTTCCCGGACCAAGAACTTCCAGAAGGGTGGCAACAGCTACGATGCCATCGCCAAGAAGAACGACCAGATGTACGCCCTGATTGCCATCTGCGTTGCTCTCCACCCCACTCGTCTCGACGACACCATCCACTCCGCTCTGCGTGAGAAGTACGGCGAGCAGCTCATCCGCCTCCAGCACGGCGGCCCCGACGCCCTTCCTCTGTTCGAGGAGCTCTTCCGCTCTGCCTGCCCCAAGTTCATCAGCCCCACTCCCCCCGACTTCGACAACCCGTCGGTCAACGTCGACCCCGTCGACCACCACACCGCCATCTTCATGGATGAGGTCAAGAACACCATCTTCAACCCCACGATCCGCTCGTACCTGAAGCTCTACACCACCATGGACCTGAAGAAGCTGGCCGGCTTCCTGGAGGTTGAGCCCGAGAAGCTCCGCTCTTGGCTGCTGGTGAACAAGCAGCGCAGCCGCCAGGTCCGCTGGGTCGAGGGTGGCCTCCTGGAGGGCGAGCCCGTCAGCGCCAACGACCTGGACTATGCGCTTGAGAACGACCTAATCCACGTCAGCGAGACCAAGGCCGGACGTCGTCTGGTGGACTGGTACCTGCGAAACCTCGCCCGTGTGTACTAAATTGGTCCCCTCTCCAATACCGTATTCATTTCGGAGATAGCGCGCGAGTGACCCAAGAATGAGATACGCGTCATGTCTTGAAACGGACCATTTTCGAAAGCAAGACTTCCCAAGCGGGGGAAGCCATCGGACTCACCATACCTGGTTTGCCCGACCAAATACTCAAAAACTCGGAGGCGACTTGGACTTTGCAGGTTGGAAATCAGTGGTGGGAAAGAGCCACAATCACTGGTGTCAAGAAAAACAGAGACATGGTGTTCAGAGCGCACGATCTGTGTCTCCCTCTCTCTCCCACCCCACAGCATCAAAATCATGAAAACTTCTTTTTGCTTTCTCTCTGTTTTAATTTCACACATGGTTTTCATTGTTCATGCTTTTCTGATCCATTTTTTTTTTATATCTTTTGTTTTCCTTACTCTCCGGGTTGTGCAAGCCCGGACCTGCTCTGGTTACAGGTCTGGGAGTGCATACAAAATTCGAATCGAATCTCGAGGCTTGTTTGGGGCGTATTCAATGCTTGTGCTTGGTCTGTTTTATTGTTTCTGTTCGAATGTCCGATTGTTGCTGCATGTCAGCACGAAAGGATTCCAAAAGTGGGCAGACGATATGGTAGAATTTGTTTTTTCGCATGACGAAATAGATGATGACCTTCTATCATTTTAAATACACCAATCCCAACAGTAAAAATATCATCGAGGTATGAGGTAAGAGAGGAGGGTATACACAGTAGGCATTACTCTATCTATACTCGGATGCAAATATGGTACACGATATCACCAATGCAATTTAATCCAACCAAACCAGTCCTTAATCACTGACATCGAAGCTCGTCCCGCAGCCACAGTTACTGGTGGCTCGCGGGTTGTCCACGATCTTGAACTGGCTGCCGATCAACTCCATCGTGTAGTCCACCTTGCTGCCGGACAGCAGCTCCAGCGAGGGCTCGTCCATGACGATCTTGGCTTCGCCGGGCCCTTGGGGGGATCCTTCCTCGGGCGTGTATTCGGCCTCGAAGACGGTGTCTTCTTCGGCGTCGATCTTCGACGCGGCCTCCAGCGACATCATGTATTGGAAGCCATGGCAGCCTCCGCTGGTCACGGTGATGCGCAGATGATGGTACGGGTTCTCTTCTTTGGTGGCGGAGGGAGAGGATGTTGGGTCGGTGATTTCGCGGAGACGCTGAGATGGGGTTAGCCAATGTCATTTGCATGCATTGCAGAAAGTATAGAAACGATCATTAAGAGTGGGAAAATCAGTGAGCAAATAAATAAATAACAAAAGAAAAAAGCAAAAACATACAACAGCCGGGATTCGCTGGTGGTCACCCACCCAACTACTAACCGGCCGGCGTGAGGCTTAAGTACGGCTGAGCGGACGGGAAGCCCTGTTCTCCTCACCCTGTGGTCGTATGTACTCGTTCATTCCCATGCAAGGCTCTTATCGCGGCCAGCTTTGCGGTTTCCCGACCACTTGCGCGCTTCTCCGAGTCCCTTGTATGTTGTCCGAGTCCTCGCCACAGGGCACAGATGCTTCCCCGTCTATCCCCAGCGCATTCTAGCCACCACACTTTGTGCATTCTGCTCGACAAGACTGAAGTGAAATCAAATCGATAAACCTACCTCTGCAGCACGAGGCGATATCTCCACCATCAATGTATTGCCATCTTCGCCGGTTCTCGGGTTAAGGGTAGGCTTGGTTGCTCGGCGGACAGTCGAGGCGGAAAAGGCGCGACGGTGACGGGGCGCATTGAGGAACGAAGCGCAGTTTCGTACAGAGGCAGTTCGAGCGATCTGAGTCTTCTGGGGTTTGATAAGATGGGAGAACGGTCGGTGGATGGCCGAGTCGCAAAAGCATGCGGACAAACTGCTCGCAGCCGGTCTGGAAGGCGAGAGGGCAGAAACTACCGTGCGAGACGATGTTCGCGATAGACGGCGGGCGGCAGACGATAATATCGGACAGGACATGATTGCGACCACGATCTCTTCTTAGTTTCGAGAATGATGGTCTGAGGAAAAGAACCGGGGAACTTCAGGCCATTGATTATATATCAAGTTATCGTCTCGTTAGTCAGAGGGTTGCGCATGACGTTATTGGCTGAAGGTCCTCGGAAAGACACGGCAGAATCGCCGCCGATCATCGCGGGGGTTTTTCTTTCTTTCTTTCTTTCTTCTTGCATGTCGTTTCTTTCCCTTGTTCATCCTCATCCTTTCCTTCCTTCTCGTCCTACTGGATTGAGGCCGGCTCGATTTACCATCATGGTGAGCAAGATACAGACGTGGAAATGACATCGGAGACCCAAGGACACCCCCCAGTTCGCCTAAACCATCGGAGTGGCCACGCCGAACGCCACTCAACGCCATGAGGAACCTTGTTCCTATCTATATGGGGGACATCGGGGAGTATTGGGATATCGGAACTATTCCAGCCGGTGGCCAGATGGCATTTCATCTAGAGAGGAGAATTTCCCCTCTACCGATGCATTGTCGGGATATGTAGCAGCTGGTCAGCCTACAGTAGACAAGTAGAACAACCCCGCCGAAGATCAAGCAGTGGGATGTTATTCCTTTTGATATAGTACTATTGAAGCTGAGGTCACCCTGGATCCTACGGAGATTCAAACGACCGGAATAAAAACTGCCAATAACGCTGGCTGAACAAGTAACTGTTTTCTCACAAATCAGCATGGAATCTTGATAAGTCCGTCAACGTAAAACCTCCGCCACCGCGGCAACCACACCCGGTCTGCGTCTCGTATCTTCCTGCGTCATCCCCCTCCCCTCGACCGTGAAGCCATACTCATATCCCTCGCGAGGCTATAGTGCTTAGCGAACTATTCCGTACTAGATTATCACACGTCCCGGTTCAACATGGGTTTTCAGGTCCGAGGCATCAAGAATCGACCCCCGCTTCCCTACAAGGACGATATCAGGGCCTACAGCAAGGAATATGCCGAGTCTCTCGATGCCCGAGACCCGCTACGTGCCTTTCGCGATGAGTTTATCATTCCCTCGAAGACCGATCTGAAGAGAAAGTCATTGGCTGTTGACGAGAGTGCGTTCACATAACCTTGCTAGCCGCTACCACCTGTTATATATTCTCCCGCTAATTTCTGCTCATAAATAGCCCATGACAACTCCGATGATTCATGGTGTATTTATTTGTGTGGCAACTCCCTTGGGGTGCAGCCTCGCAACACGCGGAGGTACATCGAGTATTATCTGCGGACCTGGGCCATGAAAGGCGTCACTGGTCATTTTACTCCGCATGATGACCAGCTTCTGCCACCGTTTGTGGACGTTGACGACGCCGGCGCAAAGCTCATGGCTCCGGTCGTGGGAGCACTGCAGAGCGAAGTGGCACTCATGGGCACCCTGACGGCTAACCTGCACCTTTTAATGGCAAGCTTCTATCAGCCGACTCAGGATCGATACAAGATCATTATCGAAGGCAAGGCTTTCCCAAGTGATCATGTAGGTTTTCAGACTCATAATCTCACCGCGAGATATACAGAGGGGCTGGCTAACATGTGGAGTATACAGTATGCCGTTGAATCTCAAATTAAGCATCATAATTTGGATCCAAAGGATGCCTTGGTTCTCATCGAACCTAAGGACACCGATCGTCCTCTTTTGACGGCGGAGCAAATACTGCAAGTGATTGATGAGCATGCCTCGAGTACCGCAGTCATCCTCCTTTCAGCGGTTCAATTCTACACCGGCCAATATTTCGACATCGAAAAAATCACCGCGCATGCTCAGTCGAAAGGCATCATCGTGGGCTGGGACTGTGCTCACGCGGCAGGGAATGTCGACTTGCACCTGCACGACTGGAACGTAGACTTTGCAGCATGGTGCAACTACAAATACCTCAACAGCGGGCCTGGCGGCATGGCGGGCATATTTGTTCATGAAAGACATGGGCAAGTGGATATGGACCGGGCTGATGGCGACGGTCAACCCTTCCGACCACGACTCTCCGGCTGGTGGGGAGGAGACAAGAAGACCAGGTTCCTGATGAACAACAGTAAGAGCTCTCTCCCTCCTCCTCTATTGCCTGAATCATAACCAACACCAACGAATGCAATGCTAACATTTGCAGACTTCTTGCCCCAGCCCGGCGCAGCAGGATACCAAGTGTCCAACCCATCCGTGCTGGATATCAACGCAGTAGCTGCGTCACTTGAGCTTTTCAACCGGACATCGATGGCCGAGATTCGTAAAAAGTCCCTAGACCTCACAGGCTACCTAGAGCACCTGCTTCTAACCTATCCTCTTGACGCACCGCCCGAGGATAAGCCTTTCATCATTATCACTCCGTCAAACCCGGACGAGCGCGGTGCGCAGCTTAGTCTGCGTCTACAACCCGGTCTTTTGGACACTGTCCTGGAGGTCTTGGAAGAGCACGCGGTCGTCATTGATGAGAGGAAACCGGATGTGATTCGGGTTGCTCCAGCCCCTCTATATAACACTTACGTGGATGTGTGGGAATTCTGCCAGGTCTTCTACAATGCCTGCCGGAAGGCTGTGAGCGCACGGAAATAAGCCACCCTCATAATTTGATGGAGTCCCCTTGAGAAGCTGGGGTGCGAGGGTTGTTCCGACAGGGGAATATACCAAGAGTGGTCATGAATCTGTACATGAACTAGACGCAGCGATTGGCGCGATCTCGCGACGAGAGCTGATCAGGCATGAACTTTCGTATCATATATTCCTGCAAAACTGTAGAAGTATACACGCTCTTAAAAACCAGAGATTAACCGAGAGATCCAACATAACTGCCCTGCAACAAGCATTTCCCTCCGTATTCTTTCTGCCTTACTCCCTGCCTCCAACGACATAACCCATCAGCCCAAAGCAAAGTACGCTCGCTCCACCGGTTGTCGTTCAGATTCCCAAGCTAGCCAATCCGACCTCGTAGTCCTATCGGAGAATCCGCGTTAGTGATCTGATCTGCACTGGCGATCCGATCGGATATCAGGTAAACGTACGGTAGCAGTCCCATCGCATTCACCTTCCACACCCCAAGCCCCAACAAGACCAACTGCATCAGCACATACATCGCCTTCACTCCGAGGAGTTTCCCCTTTGTTCCGTCCGTCTCGAACTTGGCAAACACGGTGTTGGTGTTGATCAGGCCTTGGATGGGGCCCTTGAAGAGCATGAACACCATCATGATACTGAAGATCTGAAGGCTGTTTCCGGACATGTACATCATGATCGCGTTCATGGGAATCTGCTTAGACGGCGCCAGGGCGATCTCCCAGGCCTTTTTCAGCTTGAGGGTATCGGTTTCGACGGGCTTGGATGCGGAGGAGGTGGAGGTCGACTGTTGCTGTGATCGCTGCTGGGGGGATCTGGGATTAGCGAAATGCCCTGAGACAACAAAGCAGCTATGTAGATGTCGCCGAGAACCAGCCAGGCACACGTACGTTCTTGCCTCCTTCCTTGCGACTGGAGAAACCTGGAGGGTCGGGGATGCTGGCGGCGGACTTGGGGGAACGTGGCTTGGGGGAGTTCAGGTCCACGACCCATTGCGGAGGGGGGACGGGGGGCAGAGGCTGGGAGGGCATGATGGCAGGAAGTTGAAATTAGGGAGAATTAAAGGAGAAGCGAAGGGCGGGTTCGATGCGGAAAATAAGGACGAACGTGGGCAGGACGGAGGGATGCCAACATGAATGACGATAGGGAATTTCTCCACAAGCGCGCGGAGGGCGGCGGTAACCCCGATCCACTCCTGATCCTCACCCAAGACTTTCTCCTTTTTCGAATTCAACGTCTGCTCCGACTCGGGAGATCCAGTCCACGGTTGAAGTCCAGGTAAGTCCGTCCGCATGGTCCCTTGCATGCCTCGATGGTCGTTAACCGCCCGGGACCAGGGCCTGCATGGAGCGTGCCAGCTAAGAGAACCGATCCTTCGAAGCCATTCCAGCGACTCTTTTCTCATTCGTCCTTGCGCCATTCCATGTGATCAGGGATCGGACAGTCCAAGACACCAGCGTGCATTGGGACGAAGATAGTCGGCAGAGCATCGAGCCACCATGAGTTCCAGCGGGGGAGATGCGAAGCTGTTCGCTAGGGTACGTCGAGTCTCTTATCTAGGGTCCCTTTTCTTCCCCTCTCGTCCCTCGTCCTTCCCCTCATACCGATCGATCGTCTCCTTGCGTCTTGTGATACCCTGCGACTCCCGTTTGGCTTCCTTTGTCGTTCGCCGTCGTCTCCGATCGTACCTCCTGTCCCCTCCATCCACCCCATTTCCTGACCACCACTATCCTCCATGTTCATCAGCGTCGCCCCGTATGCGGCTCATGGCTTACAAGTCTCTCGGTCTCGACAGGGGAAAGTCGCCGAGTTGCGACAGGAACTCAACAGCGGCGGCAAGAAGGACAAGAACTTCTCCGCGAAGAAGATCGCCCTGAAGAAAATCGTCGCGAACATGACCATGAGCAACAACGATATGGTCGGCCTGTTTCCCGATGTGATCGGATGCATGAACCTCCCGAGCTTGGAAATCAAGAAGATGTACGTCGCAACCACGCTGTTCGCTATCTCCACAACGATGAATGGTCGCTGATCTAGTGTTCTCGGAGGATAGGTGCTTCTTGTTCTTGGTGAACTATTCGAGGATGAAGCCGGAAATCGCACTGAAGGCGCTGCCCATTTTGGTTAATGTAGGGCAATTGACGACACTGGCTGTGATGCGAAACAGGCTAACGCGCGGGTGAAATTAGGACATGGAGGACTCGAACCCTCTTGTACGAGCTCTCGCGCTGCGCACGATCTCTTACGTCCATGTGCGCGAATACGTCGAGGCGACAATCCAGCCGGTCAAACGGTTAATGGGGGACATGGATCCTTACGTTCGCAAAACCGCGGCGTTCTGCGTCGCCAAGCTCTATGAACACGATAAGAAGATGATCGAAGCCTCCGACCTGATCGATCGACTGAATCAGATGCTGAAGGATGAGAACCCGACGGTTGTTTCCAGCGTCCTTGCTTCCCTGGTGGACATCTGGGGCCGCAGTGAAACCATTTCTCTAACCATCGATTACACGAGCGCCTCGAAATTGGTGTCGATCTTACCGGATTGCTCTGAGTATGTCTCCATGGCGTTGAAATCTGAGACGGGCCAGCATGCTAACTCTGCACAGATGGGGGCAGTCGTACATTCTCGAGGCTCTCATGTCATACGTTCCGCAAGATTCGGCAGAGTCGCTTTTGCTCGCAGAACGAATCGCTCCCCGTCTTTCTCACTCCAACTCCGCCGTCGTCCTCACTTCGATCCGTGTCATCCTTTACCTCATGAACTACATTGCCGACGAGCGACACGTTACCTCGCTATCGAAAAAGCTATCACCTCCGCTAGTTACTCTGCTATCGAAACCCCCGGAGGTTCAATATCTGGCACTTCGGAATGCCATCCTCATCCTTCAGAAGCGACCCGAAGTCCTACGGAACGATATCCGGGTGTTTTTCTGCAAATACAACGATCCTATCTACGTGAAGGTGACCAAGCTGGAACTCATCTTCATGCTGACCACGAAGGAGAACATCTCCGTCGTTCTGGCCGAATTGCGAGAGTATGTCCACCGTGTTTCCCTTGCTGCCGCGCTTCTGTACTAAATCGACGCTTCTAGATACGCCACCGAAATCGACGTACATTTCGTGCGCAAGGCCGTCCGTGCCATTGGGAAACTCGCCATCAAGATCGAGTCCGCGGCGCGGCAATGCATCGACACGCTGCTTGACCTGGTCAACGCCAAAATCCCCTACATCGTGCAGGAAGCCACGGTGGTGATCCGCAACATCTTCCGCAAGTACCCCAACCAATACGAGAGCATCATCGGCCAGGTGATCCAGAACATCGACGAGCTGGACGAGCCCGAGGCCAAGGCCGCCATCATCTGGATCATCGGCCAGTACGCCGACCGCATCGAGAACTCCGACGGCCTGCTGCAGGACTACCTGGCCACCTTCCACGACGAGACCGTCGAGGTCCAGCTGGCGCTGCTGACCGCCACCGTGAAGTTCTTCATCCAGCGGCCCACCAAGGGCCAGCAGCTCGTGCCGCAGGTCCTGAAATGGTGCACTGAGGAGACCGACGACCCGGACCTCCGCGACCGCGGATACATGTACTGGCGGCTGCTGTCCAGCGACCCGACCACCGCGCGCCAGGTCGTCATGGGCCAGAAGCCGCCCATCAGCGCCGAGAGCGAGAAGCTCGACTCGCGCACCCTCGAGGAGCTCTGCCTAAACGTCGGCACCCTCGCCACCGTCTACCTGAAGCCCGTGCAGCAGGTGTTCCGCTCCGCCCGCACCCGCCGCCTCCAGTACAGCCCGGCGCTGCAGAAGCCGCGCGACGAAGCCGGCAGCAGCGTCTGGCAGTTCCCGGCGCCCTCGGCCGTTGCTGGTGCTGGGGCTGCCGTTTCTGCCGCTGCTGCCTCTGCCTCGGGCAACGGCACGCCCACCTCGCCGACGAACGGCTCCGACCTGGCGCCGCCGCCGCCAGCCGACATGAACGCGGCGGTCAACGCGGCCGACAACTACTTCAACAACGTGGGCACCCAGCAGATGGCGGCGCTGGATCTGGGCGGCCGGGGTGACGGCGGTGCCGGCGGCGGCGGCGCGTCGCAGATGCAGTATGTCGTGAATCAGAACCAGCAGTCAGTGTATCAGCCTCAATTGGCGGGTGGAGCGGCTACCGGGGAGCTGTTGCTACTGTAATGGTGTTTTGTTGCTTGCTACCGCTACCCACTGCTGTTGTATAGATTCTTTTTATGTCATTTTCTCAGCTCTGCAGACGGAGGAGTCCCTATTGTTTGGACCATACATGAGCGGTACTCCTTTCATCGCAGGAATTTGTGATACCTCATTTTTATGTTCAACTTATTCAGATCACTTGCCTTTTTTACTGTACTGTATTTAATGCATTATAGTTTCATGTTATATAAAGGAGTTATAATAGAATGGTCATGGCGAAGACAATCAATGTCTTTGAGTAGACAGCACAACATAAGTTTCCATTTGATGCAATATGTGCCTAGAGGGTAGATATCACCCAGTTGAACGAGCTGAACGCTAGAGGTATGACGGGAAAATCCAGGCAGATGAATAGAAAAAAAAAAGCAGCAAATTCCCTGTGGATCGAAGACATGGACCAAAGATAGATTTAGATTCAGAAGATGAAGCTCAATCATCATCCACCCGAGACAATCCACCACGGTTGCGGCGAATCCGCTCATCCAGGTTGTCCTCCTGCAGTTGTCGATGCATCGTCGAGACGAAACGACCGCGTTCTGATCGCTGCTTGTCATCTCGCTCCTGTTGCTTCTCCTCTTCAGCCGTGACGTCGGCAATGCGTTGGCGACGAGTCTGCTCCATATCATTCGCATTGTCCTGCATCTCGGCGAGCTTCTTTTTCCGAATTTCCTCCTGCTCTGCTGCATCGGGTCCGGGCCTGGAGTCTCGGTCTCGTGGATGCGAGTCCCTGGGACCTCGGTTGTTCCTTCCATTGTCACGGTATGGTCTGTCTCGTCGGTCCTCGCCGCGGTAATCTCTGCGAGGTCGAGAATCCTTCTCCTCTGCGTGGCGGCGATCTGAGTGACGATAATCGGGTCGAGGTGAGGGAGATCGATCCTGGAAGGAACCGCGTCGCGGAGCACGGTCGTACTTCTCCTCACGGTCCCTATGCCTGTCCGAGCGATGTTCTCTCCCATCTCTATCCTCCCTGCGGTCTCTGTCGCTTCTGCGATCGCGGTCTCTGCGGTCCCGGTCATCGCGATCATCCCTGTGTCTGCGATGCGACCGCTCCGGGGATCTCGACCGATGCCGATGAGACCTGTGACGATGGCGCCGATGTGAATCCTCCTCATCGCTGTATCTTCTCCGCTTATGACTGCGCTCCCGATCACCGTCCCTCTCCCTCTCGCCTCCGCGGGACCCCGAGGCAACCGCACCGCCCCTCCTCGCCGACTCCTTCACCAAATTCTCATAAGCCGCCTGCTCCCGCTTCTTGATCTCCAGCAACGGATCAGCCATAACCTTCGACATCGTATCGCGGGCATTCTGAACCGGCGGCGCGGTCGGCGCCTGCCCCGAGCCAACCTCGGCGCCCTTGCCCAACTTCTTGCTCTCGTCATTCTTCAACAGTATCCCATCGATGCGACGCTTGCCCAGTAGATACCCTTCCATCTCCTCAGAGTAGTGGCCCGTCGCGCTCGACGGAGCCTGGTACATCCAGTCGACTCGGTTCTGTTGGCGTCCCTTCCCCGAGTCTTCCTGTAGACGCTGAAGCTCTTGGATTTGACGCTCCTCATCTCGCTCGCGGCGCAGCTGATCGATGCGTTTGCGCTCTTCCAAGGCGCGCTTCTCCTCCTGCCAGACACGCTCTTGGTTGCGGAGGAGGGAGGGGTGCCATGACCTGTGGGTTGCGAGATGAGAGTTAGTATACGAGATTGCGCGGTGAGTGTGAAGTGAGGGAAGCGGGAAACATACTTCTTCAAATTCAGATCTCCACCCATCTTGGCGCAAATGTGTTGCAGACAAGCTGCGATTTAGGGATCTTGAGAAGGGTTTGGGGAGAAAAGAGAAAGGAAGAGCAGTAAAAGGCTGGTCGCACCTGCCCGATGGGTACAATGGACAGGTCCCGAAAAGGAAAGCGCCACCGGGCCGACGTTGTTGCCATGTATGCCTTAGGCAGCCACTACCCGCGAATCTACAAGACGAGCGCTACGACCTCGAAAATAATGCGAAGAAACAAGTTCATTGTATATCTGAAGGCCGCCAGGTAAGACAGAAAGGGAAACGAGAGACAGTCACCGTTACAGGGAAAAAACAGAACAAGTGTAAAAGAGGCATCAGTAGATACATACAACGAGAATAGTAGATTATTTGAAAGCACATAACAAAACACAGAGAAGACAAGGTGTGCACATGCAGCGAATCTCGGAAGCCCGATTGCAGATCATGTACCATGCGAAATTAAAATATACCAGAGTCGAATCATTTACTCATCTTCGGTTCAGCCGTCTGCGTTGTCATAAACATGGAATACCAGGTCAAATGTGAAGGGCAAGAAAGGAAGAAGGAGAGAGAAGAGAGAAGAGAGGGGGAGCTGAGCGAAAAAGAAAAGAAAGATAAAGCCATAGACCAAATCTAGTCCACGAAAGATTCTCCGTCAGCGGGTCATCGCCATCTGCGCAGGAAGACCGTCACAAGCTCATTATGCATTAATGGTTTCGTCCTTAACTTTCCCAACCAACCCAGCTGCGAGGCATAACTCGCCAGACCTTGCATTCACCACTGCGAAGGTCATTGAGTTTAAAGCTTTCAACTTTAACCTTCTTGCTCTCTCTGCCCTGTTCCCACGCTCGGATCTTCTTCTTGGTTCCGTCCCAGTCGACAACGACGCCAACGTGATCCGGTTTGCCCACTTCCGAGCTGTATTTCTGATGCATCGTGCCACGGTGACCCTGGAAGCGTGCGTTGCGGAAGCTGACAATGTCGCCCGCGCGAATTTCGTCATTTTGCTGCACCGAGGCGTTGGCCAGGTTCGAGTAGACCAAAGCACCGTAAGCTCTCGTGCCAACGGGGTGCAAAGCGTCTTTGATGGGGCTAACCAAATGCTGAACCAGACCGAAGGGGGTGCCGTCCGCAACCGTGGTGTTTTGAATGCCGTTGATGGCATTGGAGATGCGAGTTCCAATCTGGACATGAGCATTTTCTAGCTGATCTTGACGGGGCTGAAGGGGAGGACCCTCATGACGTTGTTCCAAGGACGCGTCGCTGGGGTTTCGAGCATCATACGTCACCGTGATGACCGTCTGCGAGTAATCCAGGAACAAAACATAGACGTCTTTCGTCACGGTGGCTTTGCCTCCCCGTTTCGAAGAGGTAGACTCCTCAACCTCGAAGAAAAGGTCCTTGCGATTCTGGAGGGCAGGCGGGGGTGTCGATGGCTTGCTCCACCACAGCGTGCCTTCAGCCAAATCAACATCCATGGCAATGAACCCTTGGTCGATAGAGGGACGAGCAACATCCATAGATCTCCGAAGAGGAGGTGCTCCCCTGGGAATGTCCAAGGACGCACGGTTGCTCCGTGGAGTGGATGGTTGCGCAGGAGGAAGAAAACTGGGAGGCGGGGGTGCCATAGAAGTACGTTTCTCAGACGGTGCAGTAGGCGGCGGCACTTCCGGGGGTGCATGAACAGGAGACGCATCGTACAAATCATCTTGGTCATCCACATGCTCTGGCTGAATGCTAGGTGGAAGTTCTGGGCGGCCTGCGGGCACAGGGGGCGCCCTGGGAGGGGGCGGTAGTCCAGGCTGGGGGGCGGTGTAACGATAAGGATCATATTCATCATCATCCGCGTACAATGAATCCATGTGAGGCGGGGGAGGGGGCGGGCCTCTGGGTGATTCCAGCGAGGCTCTACCGGCACTACCGGCACTCTTGGGTGGCTGGACAGGAGGCGGCGGCGGCACTGCACGAGGGGCAGACGGAGGAAGAGGTGGGAGACGAGTTTCCGGAGGGCTCCGGGGAGATTGAAGGGAATGATCGTCAGTTATAGTGCCATCGTCGACGCTCGAATCCCGCCCATGAGCTTTCAGCGCATCCTTGAACTTTGCACCGGATGCAATGTCCGTGTCGTAGTCGCCGTCATATTCGGTGGTCTCGCCCTCGGCGTCATCACCAGCCTGGCGAGGCTGCGAATGAACACTGATCCGGCTATCCGCAGTTGATCGACGTCGGATATCGCCTGGGAGCGGCGGGGGAGCTGGTCTATTCTGCGGTGACATTGGTGGGCTTGTCGGCACTGGCGGAGGAGGAGGGCGGCTCATTCTCTTCTCCGAAGGAAGCGTCGGTGATTTCGGAGACGACACTTCATAGGTGGATGGGCGGCGGGAATCGATATGATCAGGAACCGGGGGCGCTGACACTGGCGGAGGTGCAAAATGGTCTGATGCCACTGCGTTCAAAGACAGGTTCTGTGCATGGACGGAAAGTTCATCGTCCGATTCCTCGCCGGGGTCGGCAGATGTTGTGCTTTTAGTGGGAGGAGGAACGGGGCGGGCTATCACCAAAAGATCAGCTAAACTGGCATGACACATGGAAGTCAATCTCTTTCTAACTTACGACCTGGCACAGGCGGAGGCGATGCAGGTGGATCCTGAGGAACAGGAGGCGGCGGGACAGGTCGTGTTTCCATCGGCGGAGGGGGAGGTGCTGGGCGTTCTTGATAAGAGAAACCGTCAGCTTCAAGGTTATCAGGGTTCATATGGCCAGAAATAAAGATGCCGTCCATACCTTGAGGGGGTCGGTCAGACGAGGTGCGTCGAGGAGACGCTTCCGGAACAACTTCCTCAACATCAGGCACCTCTTGCGGCGGATGCTGTTCGGTCAAAGGAGTGGCGGGAGCTTCCTCGTCCTTCTCGACAGATGGAGCGGCTGCTGGCTTGCCCATGTTCATCCCTGGCAGAGCCATAATAGGAACTGGTGGCGCCGCAGATGGACCGGCGCTTTCAGTTTCCTCGGCCTTCCTTTCGGGTTCCGCTGGCGGCTTCGGCTTGCGAGCTGCGCCAGGGGCAGGCATACCTCCCGGAGGGCCAAAGAAGCCCATCATACCCATGCCACCGCTCATCTTCGCCATTCTCTCGCGGAGTTCCATCTTGCGCTTCATCTCCGGGTCCATTTCTTCGTCTTCCTCCTCTTCCTCCTCGTTGTCATTCGGCTGCTGCTCTTCCTGTTTTTGGTGCCTGACAGGTTCCGGTGCCTTTGTCTCGTCAGGAGACTGGGCGACATGCTGGGTTTCACCGCGCGCACGATCATCGAAATCCTCCTTGCTGGTGGAGGTTTCTTCTGCATCCTCGATATCAGCGGCGGCAGAGTCGTCAGCATCGTTGGTGTCGCTCGCCAGCTCCTGTGCCGGCGCAGGAGGACTCATTGGCTGCGGCACTGGAAGCGCACCGGATTTCACAGTCTCAACGCTGTGATCCCGGGCAGTTTCAGTGGGCTCCACTCTTTCAGTGCCCGGGTCCTCGGTGTATACAGGCTCTTCTTGGGATTCTGTGCGGGTCTGCGGAGGGCGCTTGGGTTTTTCCTTCTTCTGAGCCGCCTCCGAATGACGCGCAGCCTGCTCCATTTGCTGCTTTTGCAGAAGGGCAATCCGCTCCTTCAAGCTTGTTGGCTTGGGCTGGTCCTCTGCCCCTTCCTCGGTATTTTCGCTGGGGGCGGGTCGGCTTTCAGACACGGGGGGTTCCCGTGCCACGCGCTCTTGAACGTCGGGATCCTCCTCTCTCCGGTAGATCTTCTGAGGAGCTTCCCTAGGCGGGGGGACGTAGGCATTCTTGCTAGGCGGCGGTGCGACGAACGGCTTCTTGATGAACGACGTAGAGCTCTGGGAGCCCCATCCTGCAGGCTTGACCGGGGCGATTGGCGGCGCCGCGGGCTTGTTGAATGCAGCAATGCGATCCCTGAAGGAAGATCCAGTCGGCTTCTCTGCGACGGCAGGGGGTGGGGGCTTCGTCGACGTCTTCGGAGCAGGTGGCTCGCTAGCTTCTGCGGAAGGCGGCTGCGGAGGCGGCTGCGGAACCGAGGCCTGCACCGGGCGAGGTGGGGAGGGAGCTTCACTGATCGGAGTTTCCACGGGAGCCGGTGGCGACCGTGGGGGTTCGGGTGCATCTACCGACGTGGCCGAAGGAGTAGGTTCTGTCTCTGGTTCCGGGAAATACTGAGGTTCAGCGACAGGGGGCGCGACAGGGGGCTCGACCGCGACGGGTTGCGGCTCGGGCTCCGGTTCAGGCTCAGCCTTGGGCTCGGGCGGAGGAGCAGGAGCGGCTTCGGGCTCCTTCTTGGGTCTACTTGGGCGCGCAGGCCGTGGAGGAGCCGGGGGCTCATATTTCTCCACGAAGTTCTTGGGGAAGATGCCTTCCGCTTTCGACCCCGAGCTGTCCGTATATTCACCATAGTACCACTCAGCATCTTCTTCCTCGGTGACGGTGATCACCTGGCCGATTGCGAAATTTAGGTCGTCATCGTGGCTCGACGAGTACTCGAAGACCGCTCGGACCGTAAACGGCGGGCTGGACATCTGGCAAGCCGGGCCCTGTCACGAAGGTGGGATTGTAAGACGGCGACGGAGGGCGGGACCGACCGGGGGGGAGGGACGAGATCAATTAATCCAGAATGGAGCAGTTGCACGCAGGGAAGCACCAGATAACGTGGGTTCCGCCGGACAAAAACATGCGCGGAAGGAGGGTTTCGGAGAAAGTGTGGGTTTGGAAGAGGGACGCTAGAGACTGGGAATCAACAGTCGGAATCTGTCAGCCTGGTGGATGGTTGGGTACGTCAGAGGGAGCGATCGGGGGATTGCATGGCCATTGCGAGCTCCCCTCGTGGAGACACCGACAGCAAAGAAGGACAGTCGTGGCACTTACCAGATGCAGGCGCAACAAAGCTCCGAGCAGATTCAAATACGATGCGTGCCAAGGAGGGCAGACTGGGAGAGAAGGGGGGAGGAAGGAAAGGGAAAGGGAAAGGGAAGGGAAGGGAAGGGAAGAGACACGGAGGCGTAAGGAACCGTCGTGAGGTCGTCACCTTCTGGCGGGACAAAGTGCTCCACCACGGGGGCGATCGGCGGCTAATAATATTCAATGCGGTCGGTGGCGGTACACAGGCTACGTTTGGTGTCTCTAGTATTCTCCTGACGAGACTGCCAGACCGTGCAAACAAGCTTCTTTTGTCTGTCGTCATCGTCCGTGGATTGAATCCGGGGTTTCCAGTCTCTTGGCCGACCCGGAGAAATAGCGAAGGAGACAAAAAAACGGAAACCTTCAGATCGTCATCCCATTAACTTCCCTCACTACTCCGGAGTATACACTCTGCAACACTCTGCAATACTCTGCAATACTCTGCAACACCACTCTTTCTCTCTAGCCAGGTCAACCATGTCCTCAGATTCGATGCTCAAAACCTCTCTTCCCTCCGCTCACCGTGCGGCCGCCCCCAAGGCACCAGCCCAATCCACCACTCGCCGTGCGCCATCCAAACCCAAAGCGTCGCACCAGCCCCAAGCCCAGTCGCAGAGTAAATCAGGCACCGATCCTCGCCATCTGGCCATCGCTCTTCAGCATGCGCACCGCATCCAGGCCCAGAAGGACACCGAATCCCTCATCCTCGATCGCATTCTCGAACTAGCCACCTTCCCCCCGTCGCCATCAGCCGACCCTGCGTCGCCGTCGCCCGAACATGCCGGCGCATTCAAATCGGCTCTCGTCCCCTTCCAGCCGGCCGACTACGATAACCTGATCCTGGAGCGCAACATCGAAGGTCTCTGTGGCTATGCCCTGTGTCCTCGCGAGCACCGAAAGGACGACTTCAAAGGAACGTTTCGGGTCAAATGGGGCGCCAAGGGCAGCGGACCGGGCGGGCATGGTCGAGACATGAACATCGTTCCGCGCGAGCAGATGGAAATGTGGTGCTCCGACGCATGTGCCGAGAGGGCCATGTACATACGGGTCCAGCTGGCCGAGGAGCCGGTGTGGGAGAGAAGAGCCGACGATACTCGCGGCAAGAATTTCGTCCTGCTGGAGGAAGGGAGAGCAGCGCAACGGGGCAAGGGGAAGGCGAAGGCCACCGTCAATGAGGTCGCTGGTCAGCTTGATAGCCTCCACATGGACACGGAGCAAAGTGGAAATGACACGGCCCAAGACATTGCGCAACTCTCCGTTCGTGACGACGCTCGGTCGCGCGAGCTCGCTATGGAGCGCGGCGATTCAGCCTTGTCATTGCAGGCAGGTCGGGTCGATGTTCAGATCCGAGAAAAGGAAACCGGCTCCCTTGGAAACGTTACGGCGCCAGAAATGCGCCCTGGGGATGATAAGGGAGGATCCATTGAAGGGTATATGCCCAAGGATCAGGATCAGTGAGGGAGATGCATCCAGGCAATTCTTGCAAATGATTCCTCTTCCACCAAAAAAAGTTATTCATAGGTGCTAGAATGTTTGTTCCCATAAGGCGTTGGCGGGATGATTGATACCCAGTTTTTACGGCGAATAGACGTGTAGTTTACAAAAACACTGTTTGCTCTGGAGGCGTTATATTCATGTCGATACAGTAGTCTGGGGAATATTACTGAAGGAGACATTGCTCCAGAGAAATACAGAGAACACTTGAGGGCTACTGTATGGCATGTTCAATCGTTATTATTCCAACACATCGCTTCGATTTCAATTTACACAACGAATACAAGATACCTCGAGTTATATCACAAAATAGAAAGAAAGATGAACAGGAGTAGCTTTACATTTATCCAATATTCTAATCATACAGCCAGTTGAACTCTCTCCCAGAAATTATGCGATCAACGTCAAGAAAGGGGAATAAATAAGCGGCAGCCACGGAATTCTATCACGAGCTGAGCGTCTTCATGAGGTTTTTCGCAATATCTTCGGTGGAACCATGGGCTGACTCCCGGGGCCGATGGGTCCTGGGACGAGATCTATCCAACCGAGGGACGTAACGCTGGTTGCCACGGACAACGTCGGAAATAGAACCTGGCTTCTTGTAGTCCTCAATGCGGTAGGGAGCCTTAGCAGCAGCGCTGGCACGGTACGACGCCAATCCGATCCTGCCATTCGAGTCAACCGAGGCACGGATGGGAGTGACCCAGTACTTGCCACCGCCGGGGATGGTAGCGTCAAAAGCAGCCAGGCCTGGGGGCGAGCCCTGTTCAATAAATGTCATGGCGTTCAAGTCCTCCACGGCAATACCACCGACACCCGCAATGGCCTTGGCACTCTTGTTCTTGAACTTGCCCTTCGGTCGCAGGATACGTGCCTCGACGGGGCGCTGGTAGGTTTGAGCACCGTATGAAGGATGGTTGTAGATCAGTGCATGCGAACGCATGTACGACAGACCGGCGGAGGGATGCGTCTTCGGAGGTCCCGACACGGCGTATTCACCCGACGATAGTTTGGTGCCCGGGGATTGGAAGTACTGTTGGCCAATTCGATCGTTCGGCACGGCCGGAGGGGATGGAAGGTCAAGGAGCTCAAAGATGATGGGGCCCAGGGCGAATGGGTCCCCACGCAGGGACTTCAGGTACAGTTGGAACTCCTCGTCACTGACTTGTACCGGTTCAAGCGTCGCGAGGTCCTCGCCATTGTCCTGAGCCTGCTTCTTTCGCTCGACGGTTCGCTTCTTGACGTATTTCTCGCGCAGCTTTTGTAGAAGCTCCGGCTTGTTGCCGCGAACCTTCTTCAAGTAGGCATCGAATTGCGCTCGCGTCTGACCTGCAAGCCAAGGTCCAGAGTGTCTGAATTGTTTGGCGCCGGGCTCTTCGAGGTTTTTGCTCGTGTCCGTGTTATCGACGTGGGATTCAAAGGGACTCTGGTGCCGGGGCATGATGCTGGTGGCGTAGTTGACCTTGAAAGGCAGCGAGACAGGCATGTGAAGTTCCTGGAACTTCTCCAAGGTCACCGTGTGGTCCGCCGCGGATTCGAAGTCGGTAACATGCTCGAATGTGTCGAGTTCGTTCACTCGCACCACCGGCCGAGAGGATTTCTGAGATGTTGACTTTGCAGGAAGCGGTCGCTTCAGACCCCAATCTCCTCTGGCCAACGATGAGGCCGGAGTGACAATGGACGCCCGGATGGGATGAGCCAGAGTCGCCGTGTCGGAATCACGGCCTTTCGGCGCCAGGGGGTCGTCAGGTGGCGTCAAGGCCTGCGGAAGTGCAAATAGACGAGACTTCCGCAGCAGATTTGCTGTGGGCGATAGCCGGGTGGTGGCCATGGCGATCGAATGGCAATTGCAGCGTCGGCAAGCTGAATCTTCTCCGGAGCAGACTGGAGAAAAGTTGGAAGAAGCCATCCGAACGGGGAGTGGCTGCCAAGACCGTCGGCACGGGGGACCGCAGCAACCTGACGCGCAGCTTTGCCGGCTCAATTACGGACTACTTGAACCACTGCCCCAACTCCTTACTCCCTACTCTTCTCTATCCTGATCTCCTGACTTGCATTATAGCGTTCATATACAGTCGTATTATCCATCTACTCTCATCATATACTATCTATTTCCAAATAACTAAGCACCCACCGCCAAAAGCGATTTCACAGTCTCCTCGACAGACTGCTTCAACGACCGGTATTTGATCCCCAAAACCTCGATGGATTTCTTGTTGTCATAGCCGTAGACATCAGCCGGCGTGTCGTCAGCAGAGTCTTTTGGCGGGAGTTTGTCCTCTAGTTCGGGATAGGATTCTCTGATGATATCCGCAACCTGCTTGTTGGAATACAGGCCCGCCGTAAGGAAGAATCGCTGGCCTCCTGCTTCCGCAACCTCGATGGCTCTCACATGGGCCAATGCAACGTCATGAACATCCACCCAGAGGAATGTTCCGGTGGGCGGTAGTTCATCTTTGTTATTACCGCGAATCAGGTTGCTTATCCGCGAATTCGAGGTGTTGATGGCATCCAAAGAGTTCAAGTAATGGACAACGGGTCCCAATACCAAAGGAGGGTTGATCGTTGCAATATCGAAATTCGGCTTCTCATTCTCGATAAAGTCCCAGGCAGCCTTTTCTGCAAAGGTCTTTTGCAGCAAGGAAAAATATAATCAGCATGAATTGACACGGGACGTGGAGCTGGGTCTCCTACCTTGCTAGCTCGGTATGTTTGCGCAGGGTCCAGAGCCTCTTCCCAGGTCACCGGGTTCCACACCTTCTCGCTGTACACCTTCGCGTGGTTCTTGACATTGGTGATGGCTGCGAAGGAAGACGTGATGACAACTCTTTTCACTGTGGGCGCGTAGGCCTTGATGGCCTTCAAAATGCCAGTGGTGCCCTTAATAGCGGGATCCAGGAAGTCCTTGACGGGGTCCTGGACGTTGTAGTGAAAAGGAGATGCGGTATGGAGGACATAGTCAAAGGGTGGGTTTGATTTGACGGCCTAAGTGAAGCATGGCATTAGTCCAGTCGATCCACGAGCTGTGTAAATCTGACTTACTTCGTCGAATGCCCCATCTGCCGCAACGTCTTTGACAATTACATAGGACAGCTTTTCCTTGGAAACGCCGGGGTGGGCTTCCAGGATCTTTTGGCCCTTTTCATCCGATCTCACTGTTACTACAGTGTCGAAGCTATTATAGAGGTCTGATTAGCGTCCTCTAGGGAGACACGGGATGATATGTCTATGACTGTAACTTACCCCCGTTGCAGCAGGAAATCGACAATGTGAGCCGCGATAAAGCCGCTACCTCCTAGAGACAAGTGTTAGGTCTATGCGGATCACTGGCATTGATGTCCGAGGGACCTCTGCTTACCAGTGAGAAGAACCTTGACCATATTTGCTTTGGGCGATGGAGTTGCGAGTGATAAACTATATTCCAATGTAAGGACTTAATAGATTGATTGTTTGAATCGTCGTTGGCCCTGACCAACACGGCGAACAACCTTCTTATAGCTTCATTCGCACGCATCTATACCCCTCCTCACGACCCCACCACGGTCCACCGACGCAGTTATCATTTGGACCTGATAGGATGTTATCGGTATGATTACAAATTAGCAATATTTGCGTGGATTGATGACGGAATTATTGGGTGGAATTAGGACTAAGCCCGGCACCTGGGGGACAGATTGGCTTTGGGCCAACCAAGGGATCACTAGCGGGCGTTGGGAAGCGCCATATCCCCGAAACCCGGCTTTAGTGGAGATTGTTGCCGGAGGAGGTACGCCGTATGGACCGGGGCCCATGTCGATGATGGCGTGGCATTTGCATGGTGTCCGTGTTCCGTCCGCTCAACCCAGATCGTCATTCGATTTGTCTTTACCCTGTAAAGGCAATATGAATCCAAGCCTAAATTCGGCAATGTGTTCTTGGCCTGGGGTTTAGTAGTGGTTGATCCAACCCTAGTTTACCGTGTGCCTGATTAATTTGCTCTTGGCGGAATAATTGGTATTATATTGTAGGAAAGGTGCATCTAGGTCTTATCTATCTTTCCTAATTTGCAAGGCGGTTGGGCAGTGGCTGAGGGCTTACAGCTCAGCATAGATAGAACTTCGGATCGGAGATATTCTCAACATAGGTAGAACCTCGGATCGGAGATATCCTCGACATTAGGAATGATTCCTATTAGTACTATTTTCTACCCACGCTGACCTCTACTAACCTTGATTTTTCTACCCTCGCTGGGCTGAGCTGAGCCCCCAGTTGCGGAGCGGCCTTACATTAAATCTGTCAGAAAATGAATGGGATCAATCCTTTCAGTTGCATATTGATATCTGAAAACCCCTACTCGAGGTTACTACCTGTTTCCCACATACAAAGCCATCATGGGAAGCCATCGCGCCTAGATAATTGCCCAGTTCGTCATCGGATAATAGCATACGTCACGTATCAATATCACTGCAGCATCTAGGCTCATCAGGGTCGTTCTGTCTGTTGTCGGCCAATGTTCAGGCAACGGAGTCTATAGACTCGAGGGCTCAGACTCCTCTCCGCTCCCTTTGTGCTTAACATTCTTCCCCCTTGTGGGAGAACGACGATCTTTAGGAGGGCGGTTTTCCCCAGGTTAAGATACATCTGCCCTTGCACATACATAGGGCCTGTAAGATATTTCATTGCAGGTAACCAAAAGAAAATATACTTGCAGTCCGTCAGCGTCTCCGAGATGCCCTGGCTTCTAAGCATACTTTTGTAAAATCTTCATCTTCAATGTGAGCAATTAGACTCTGAGGTTTCTCGACGAGCCAAAAGCACGCCCATGCGGTTGAAGTGACTCTGCTGTTGCCGATGATATCTGCAAACCTGCAAGCTGCTCTATCAACTCGTGTCGCTGTTTGTCGAGAAGTTCATCACCTGGACCCACAGTGACGGCCATAGCTAAGAGTGGCCCTGAAGATGAAGACGGCTGAGATAGTTCTCAGACCAGCTGATTTTGGAGAAAATGCACAAGAAAAGATGCAAGCAATAAAACAGGATATCAGAATAGCAAAGTAGGTAGGAGCAGGTTAAGGGCAAGGGGACTTACCTGTATGTACTTGCTCATTCATTCACTCCCATCAGGGTAACAAGCCATCTTTATAAACTGCCTAGGTATTCAATCCGTACCATAAAGTGCTTTCCAAGTAATTCATTGTCACCGCAGAATATGGTGTATATCTAATTTACTCTGTACTCCATACAGGAGAGATTCATAAGTGTTTTTGGGTAACCTATTACTGGAAAGCAAGCTCCGCATCATGTGTTACCTAGTCTTAGTGTTACTCACAATCTAGCCGTTTCTAAGACAATATAACTAATTGGTACCTTCATGGTTACTAGAGTATATAAAGTGTAACCACCAGTCCGCCCCTGTTTGCTGATGCCATGGTGCACTGGCTATGGGATTCCTTATAATTAGAGAAGGTCAGATATTTAAGAATGGAAGATTCATCTCCCCAGCTATCCAAGGAGGACGGCAGAGAGCAAGGCTGCAGATCATAAAAGTTGGATGAGCGTAATATGGCGGCCTCAGGACGCAAGGCATGCGGGCGGCCGAAGGCAGCCGATGCCCCAGGCGGCGAACCGACGTGGCCCGTGCATCATCCCGTCAGGCCTTCGACTTGCACAGCGCCGTTTCCCGCATCATCATCCTCGCCCGCTCATCGACCGTTTCCTTCCCTTTCTTATGCTCATTTCGTGTCGACGTACATGCCCTAGAGGTTGACTTCAAATGTCCACCCTGGGGTGTGCTACGCAAAAATGGCGCAACCAGGTCCTTTCACGGACGTCACTCAGCGACTCTTCATCGAGTTGAAGTCCAAGAACGAGGAGACGCGGGCACGAGCTGCTTATGAGCTCTACGACAATGTCCTCGCCATCTCGCGAGGTAGGTCCCAGACCTTTACACTATCCCCGAATCAGTGCTAACTCGATCGCTCGTATAGATTGGGCTCCGGAGAAGTTCCTCGAATTTTATAACGCCGTCAGTCAACGGATCGCGCAGCTTGTCGTTACGGGCAGCGACGCAAACGAACGCATCGGTGGCTTGCTAGCTCTGAATCGCCTGATAGATTTCGATGGGGTCGATGCGGCTCAGAAGACGACTCGGTTTGCTAGTTACCTGCGCAGCGCTCTTCGCAGCAACGACAATGCAGTGCTGGTATATGCAGCTAAGGCCCTGGGCCGTCTGGCTAAGCCGGGCGGAGCTCTCACCGCGGAACTGGTCGAAAGTGAAATACAATCCGCCCTCGAAGGCCTTCAATCCGAAAGACAGGAGAATAGACGCTTTGCCGCGGTACTCGTCATTCGCGAACTTGCTAAGGGGTCGCCAACGCTTCTCTATGGATTTGTCCCCCAAATATTCGAGCTCATCTGGGTTGCCCTCCGGGACCCCAAAGTGTCCATCCGAGAAACCGCCGCCCAGGCGGTCAGCGAATGCTTCGAAATAATTGCTGCTAGAGACATGCAAGTACGGCAATTGTGGTTTACCAGAATACACGAAGAGGCGCTTCTGGGCCTGAAATCCAACAACGTGGACTGGATACATGGATCGCTTCTCGTCCTCAAGGAGCTTCTTCTCAAGGGTGCCATGTTCATGAATGAACACTACCGGAATGCCTGTGAGATTGTTCTCCGCCTCAAGGACCATCGTGATTCGAAGATTCGCACGCAGGTTGTCCTGACGATTCCGATTCTCGCCTCATATGCCCCTGTCGACTTTACCGAAACCTACCTCCATCGATTCATGATATACCTACAAGCACAACTCAAGAGAGAAAAAGAGCGAGATTCGGCCTTCATAGCGATTGGAAAGATTGCCAATGCCGTAGGAGGGGCTATCGCACAATACCTCGATGGAATCATCGTTTACATACGAGAGGGACTGGCCCTGAAAGCGTAAGCTGCACCTACTCATAATTCCCACAGTGTTTGTTATATCTGATCTGACTTCTCCAAGGCGTAATCGAGCTGCTGTCAAGGAAGCTCCGATGTTCGAGTGCATCAGTATGCTGTCTCTGGCGGTGGGGCAGGCGCTCAACAAGTATATGGAGACATTGCTTGATCCCATCTTTGCCTGCGGACTGAGCGAATCTTTGACGCAGGCGCTTGTCGACATGGCGCATTACATCCCGCCAATCAAGCCCACGATACAGGAGAAACTTCTGGACATGTTGAGTTTAATTCTATATGGGGCTCCGTTCCGGCCCTTGGGATGTCCCGAAACCAGGCTACCTCCCATGCCTTCCTTCGCAAAGGACTTTGCCCCGCAGGAGCTGCATACTGATGCGGAAATTGCATTGGCACTTCATACTCTGGGAAGCTTCGATTTCTCTGGGCACATCCTGAACGAGTTTGTCCGGGATGTTGCAATTAATTATGTCGAGAACGACAACCCCGAAATCCGGAAGGCATCGGCACTTACATGTTGCCAACTGTTTGTTCACGACCCGATTATCAACCAGACGAGTAGCCATTCAATCCAAGTGGTTAGTGAGGTCATTGACAAGTTGTTGACCGTGGGCGTTGGGGACCCTGACTCCGAAATCCGGCGTACGGTTCTGTGGTCTTTGGATCGCAAGTTCGATCGTCACCTTGCGAGGCCAGAGAATATTCGTTGTTTGTTTTTGGCAGTGAACGATGAGGTCTTCTCCGTTCGAGAAGCTGCGATTTGCATCATCGGCCGTCTCTCCAGTGTCAATCCGGCATACGTTTTCCCCCCGCTACGGAAGCTTCTTGTCAATCTTTTGACTGGCCTGGGATTTGCAAGTACAGCTCGCCAGAAGGAAGAAAGCGCACAGCTTATCAGTTTGTTTGTGTCCAATGCAACGAAACTCATTCGGTCTTACGTCGACCCTATGGTGACGACGTTGCTCCCGAAGGCAACCGATACCAATCCTGGAGTCGCCTCAACTACCCTAAAAGCCGTTGGAGAACTTGCAAATGTGGGCGGCAACGAAATGAGAGTTTATCTCCCTCAACTCATGCCAATTATTCTGGATTCGTTACAAGATCTTTCTTCACACGCTAAACGTGAGGCTGCTTTGCGGACACTGGGTCAATTGGCCAGCAACTCGGGATACGTCATTGACCCGTATCTCGAATATCCTCATCTTCTCGCGGTGCTTATCAACATCATCAAGACGGAGCAAACAGGCTCCCTGCGCAAAGAAACCATCAAGTTACTGGGAATTGTTGGCGCCTTGGATCCTTACAAATACCAGCAGATAAGCGAGAGTGCACCCGACGTTCACCACATCAATGAGGTACAAACTGTTTCAGATGTTGCTTTGATCATGCAGGGCCTCACGCCTTCCAATGAGGAATATTATCCCACTGTCGTCATCAATACTCTGATGCAAAGTATCTTGCGCGAAAACTCTCTTGCCCAATATCATTCCGCAGTTATTGATGCAATAGTTACGATATTCAAAACTTTGGGACTAAAATGTGTGC